CGGAACTAAAACTGAACTGTCATGTCCCTACTCATTTCAACAAGGATAGAATCAATTACCGGATAGAAATCAAAATCCGTATATTCACTCTCATTATCAATTTCTTCACATTGTCCTATTGTACTTGTAACTGAACAATTTTTAAATCTTGTTGAAATTGTGGTTTTATTAACGTTAACACTAAGATCAATATTATTTTCAACACAAAATTCAGTTATTTCGACAAGTAGTCTAGAAAATTCTTTTCCACTTCGAAGTTCATTAATTTGATTAATAGTAGCACTAGTCAAGGTATGCGCTTTCCCAAAATCAATCAATTTAGCTAGAATAATTATAAAAAGAGGGATGCCACTCTCGAACAGGCATTTTAAATGTGTGTAACTATAACTAACATTACATTTAAAAAACAGAAATCTTAGAAATCTTTATATTTTTTCCGGATGGTAGGGCAAAGGCTGGCGGTGGTAGGGCGGTGCCCTGCCATGCCCACCCCTGGTTACGCCACTAGTGTAAAGCACAATAAACCCTTTTCACGGTTTATTATTTTCCTAAACCCTTCCAAAGACACATGAAAGGGCATATTGATTTTATAATCCTTTTCAGATGGATTTCAGAAGGGTCAGGAAATACTTACCATTCTATAAATTGATCGAGAAGCTCTAAATAAAAAAATAATAATTTTATACTAAAAGCTATACTTACCGTTGTTGAACCAATCGCTTGACGATATCTAAATAAAATAAATATTATTAAATATAAATGTTATACTTTCCGTTGTTGAGCAAAACGTTCGACCATATCTAAATTTAAAAACATTTACGTGACTTTTCGATTTCACTTGACTTGGCTTCACTTGCTAGAAAATGTTTTCACCAAGTCGAATCAAGTCAAGTGATATAGAAATTTTTTCCGCTCTGATTTGATTTAAGTTGATCGAAAAAAATTTCCATATCACTTGACTTCATTTAGCTTGGTGAAAAAATTTTCTACCAAGTCAAGTTAAGTGATATGGAAATTTTTTTCGATCAACTTAAACAAGCTAAGTCAGATCGAAAACATTTTCCATATCACTTGGCTTGATTCAACTTGTTTAAAAAAATTGTCTACCAAGTCAAGTCAAGTCAAATCAAGTTAAGTAAGATAGAAAAACGTTTCGATATCAGTTGGGTTGTCTTCACTTGCTAGAAAATTTTTTTATCAAGTTAAATGAAATGAAGTTAAGTGATTTGGAAAAAGTTTTCGATCTAAGTTGACTCGGTTCAACTTAATTGAAAAATTTTGTACCAGTCAAGCCAAATCGCGTGATATCAAAAAGCTTTTCTATATCACTTGACTTGACGTGACTTGATTTAACTTGATTGAAAAATTTTTCTACCGAGTGAAGTGAAATCAAGTCAGGTGAGATAGAAAAACTTTTGGATATCACTTGACTTGACTTCACGTCAAGATGGAAAAGCTCATTCCCAGCCACTCGAATGGCTGGGAATGACTAGGAAAGACTTGAAATGGCTAGGAAAGGTTGGGGACGGCTGGGAATGGCTAAGAAAGGCTTGAAATGGCTGGGAATGTGTGGGACCTTTGAATGGGTGGGAATATTGAGGAATGGCACAGAATGGTCGAATGAGTTTTTTCTCCCTTGATTTATGCAATCGCATTAACTTCAGGAGAAAACATCTGTTTGTGCTGAAAATCTCAGGATATTTTAAGAACCACGAGGCCTACATATTGCAAAAATGTCAGCACAAAATTCCATCATTTGTAACAGGACATTGCCGTTGGATTGTTGAATTTTCAAAATCCGAAATCCGTCGTTTCCGCCTCGTTAAATGAAGTCATGTCCGATATAAAAAATTTTGATCTGACTTGACTTGAATATTAAACCGTTTTCGTGCAAGGATAGAACAATAAACCCTTGACCGTAGAATACTAAACCCTTCTCTTTGAATTCCGCCGCAACAAACCCTTTTTTTCTTCAAATATCATTAGTCTCATAAACCCGTCGGGTTTCCAAAGAAAGCAGAAACCCTTTATGGGTTTCGGAAAATTTTCTTCTAGTACTAGGATTTAGTATTCTACGTTTTTTTTACAGTGTACCCTTCACCGTAGAATAAAAAGCTTTTCAGCGCAGCCCCGTTGGGGCTAAAATGTGGAACTCTCATATTTCGGTTAGTTAGATACTGATCAAATAGAAGTTTTATTTTTTCAGTGTAGTGAGATCATGTTCTGTTCAAAAATAAGATAATAAAACCTTTTTAATATGTGAAGTTTATTGGATCTATCAACAGGAAATATTACTAGAGAGAACGTATGAAAACTTTTTGTTTAGAATATGTCAGTATGCTGAAGTGTTTAGCGGTTTCATTGAGAAATATTGTGAATGATAATAGTTTAAATAGTATTTAGGATATAGCTATCAATATTGTTGAAACATTTATATTTTTTCGTATTACCAGGTGAGAAATCGATACATTTTTTTCATAACCAAAAATTTGATAAAAGCTTCCCAGTGGATGGAAAAGTTGCGAATTGTAAATACACTAAAGTGACTTCAAGCTCTAGATTAAGGTATTTGTGTGAGAAAAAAAAGATTAAAATCTTCATCTGTTTATTGTAGGTGATAGAAGTAACGAGTGTAATAGTAGCATGAACTAGTTGCTAGCTTCTGTAGCGATAGCATACACTCGTTGATAACGTCTGTAATAATAAAAATATGCGCTACTATCGTAACTATGGACTATAATAATAAAAACGACAGATTTTGATGATTAATTAGGGATTAAATCCAAATTATAACGATTTCTAATTAGTGAAACTAGATTTTTATTAGTGATGTGAATAGTGGTGAACATAGGGAATCCATCTGTACAAAAATTATATCTAATTAGTGCATCGAAGTGTTAGTTTTTTCACGTTTTGTGAAAAGGGGGTGGGATACAGGGGAGCCGCAAAAACCTAACAATTAAACTTACACTCACTATTTTCTTCGAAAATATATGTGAGTTCCACAAAAGCCCCTTTTCACAAAACGTAGAACAAGAAGCCCTGAACAGTACAATAATAAACCCTTTTCATGAAAACGTGGAACAATAAGCCCTTTTTATTTGCAAATACCCTTTTCCTCAGAAACCCTTTTACACAAAAACACTTAAAGGGTTTAGCAAACCCAAATAAACCTTTTAAGGGTTTAGGAAGACTTTCCAAACGTACTAGGGTTTATTGTTCTACGAATTTTTTTTACAGTGCTGATTCATGATCAGCTACACAAGGGTTCCTCGAGCGAGGGGTGACGGGGATGTAACACCCCCTATTTTCGAAAAATTGTTTTGCATTGTATTTCACAAAATGAAACTTACACTACCTTAAGCACGATTTTATCAGTTACCCCCAGTGTTGTCAGATGTTAAAGTCGAAAATCCGGAATTCATATGTGAAAATTCTGAAAAATCCAAAACAAGCGAGAAAAATCCGAAAAATTGAGAAAAACCAATAAAAAAAAACGAGAAAAAATTCCTGAAAAGTTCAGAAAAAATTCGGGTGAATCCCGAAAGAATTCGAAAAGACATACGGAGAATCCTGAAAGGCTTTCAAAATCAGGTAGATCTGGCAACACTGGTTACTCGCGCTCAAAATTTTTGGGTGCTCGTGCTCGCAACATCCTCGAACACAGCATCTTGAAGAAGAAATTTTTTACACTGTCTCCTTCAAAAGTGAGAATGATCATGGCATCCCTGCCGCTTCCCTATCTCATTTAGTTAAAAATTTGAGCCTACCCTAGAGGGAAATTGTTCCGCCGCCTATGGAAGGTTGTTAAACTATTTTACATCATTGTATGCTAGGCTTATAATGTAGGTCCTGCAGAATATCAAGCACACGATGGAATTATTCAACGACTGTATTTTAAGCAGTACTGTCAATTTGATCGTCAATAAATCATTCCTTTTATCATTAAAAAAGGGGCGATATCGTCTGATTTTGATATGCTCTACATTTCGAGTCTCAAAAATATCTTATGACTACCGGTAAATATATTGTTTGAATTAGTATCTCTAATATTCGTTTTTTGAACAAAAAGATAAGGTACGAAGAAACTGATGAAAAACCTCCTTGCATCCACTCCAATATCATTCTAAACATATAAGGGGAAAAAAAGACACTGATTAATCATCGTCTACCAACATCTGATTTATTCGTCAAGCACATTATTATTGTGCACAGAGCTTCAACGATACCTACATGTCATTTCAACAAGGGGAATCACCAGATGGTAATCATTCTTATGGGTTATTCCACGGGAAATCGCCAGCCGATCCGGCGACCACGCTCAAATTCATTCAAAGTTACAGGGTTTGTAGAGAATTTTGCGCTGATCATTTTGGTAATAAATTTTTCCAGAANAGCATGGAAAACTACAATAGAATGTACGAAATGTATGAACTCTGAAGTACCTATCAAATATTGTTTGATCCTATGTGATATGTACGTAATGGAGGGTGAATGGAAAAGACTATAGAATTAATTTAAAAAAAGGAAATAATCTAAAATAAAGTCTTGATCGATTCATTAGAGTGGAGTTCGCTCTAGGACATTTATTAATTAGCTTTCTCCGTAATGCAAGTTCTAAAGAGAACAGTTGACGAAATTTTCATATTTAAGTGTTTATAATCAAGAAATCGATGTGTGTTTAACTTATTTCGTTGAAGTATTGATCAAAATCTTGTGTTATTAGATGATCACTGAAAGTAAAAATAAGCTAAATTCGTTATTGTTATGATCATGTTGGAAAAAACCTACGATAGAAGAAAAATGAATCAATATCAATCGGTGATGTTTCGATTAGCAGCCAATCGATTAATAGGCGGAATTTTAAATGTGTGGATGGTGGTACGAGTAGATTGTGAAGTGCGACGACATGAAATAGATCCATTTACATCCGTATCAAACTGATGAATATCACGAATTCAGAAATTGAATATAATGAAAATTAATGTGGTCACAAGAATCTATTGTACTAAAATGATACCTTGGGTAGAAAGTCGACTCCATCGCTGCTGTAAACAGTTTTCGAATTCTTTGTTGACAACATCACCAGACAGCCAACGTACTTCAATAGGGCGATTAGGTTTGGGCATCTGAGTTGTTAAGGATTTTGAAGTGCCTATTCGACGAGGTCTTGCGATAACCATTCGATCATTTTTTTCGAAGCACCATTCATAAAATTGTTTAGGCGATGAGAAGGAAGCATTTGGCCCACCTTTAAGTAAATGTTGTGTAGCAGTTGACTTAACCACTGCCCCTACACCGTCACAAGGACCTTTTCCATGGCCAGTTGCACTAAATGTCCATGATGCAACAATATTAAAATCTGCATGGTGGTGAGCCAAGTTGTACATATTGTATTTATCTAATAAAAAGAAAAGAGTCCATTCGAATGCTACCTTGAAGTACCAAATACTTACTCTTAAAGTGAGCCGATGCACCATCACTGACATAATTTAACTTCAGAACGTTTGGGTATTGTTTTCTAAGGAAATCAACGATGAGTTTCTGTCCAGAGTAAACAAATTTTGTATCGTGTGCAAGATAATCGGAGATCAATACCATGTTACGATGTTCTTCGCCGACTTTTATATCGTAAAGATGGTTGCTTGTTGACGGGAGTAGTATGCTGATTGAATTTCTCGCTGTATAACGAAAGAAAAATTCTGAGCAAAGTCGACCTGTACAACTGCAAAAGTGGTGATAGTTGACGTCTCTTTAATTAAGGCAATGTAGTCACGTTGTTCACGTGTGTAAAAGCTGTGTATAATAAAGTTCGACCATAAACTGTCGATTTCTTCTAAAAGTGCTCGAAATGTACCAGTCAAATGAAGAAGCTCGTAACGTGAATTTAGTTTCTTCCATATTGACCATGAAGCTGAATCTTTAATTTCAATATCTATACCATCAGATAGTATATCAGATGCTTTTAATTGGCGACAATTAACACATTGGCGATAATAACAAAATTCAGAAGGAGATGTGCAAACAGTTTCTTCGATTAAGTTTTTCATTGAGACGAGATGATGAAGCGATTTTGATATTCCCTAAAAATAAAGAAAATAAATGAAATCATAAGCTAATAATGAATTACCTGAAGCACTAAATCAGCATTCTCATGATAGATGCACATACAAGATTCATGAGCTATTTGATCTCTCACCCAAACTGGCCGCAGTGAAGAGAACTTCGATCGACTTATTTCAATGTTGATATACTTCGATTTGAACTGCTGGTATGTCTCGCCGATGTTCGAATGAAGAAAACGTAAAGGAACGGGCTTTCTAGATGGTGGCGGATGAATGACCTGCTTTTTGTAAGATGTTTCCCGGCTGACTTCGTCGCTTGTGTAGAATTTATGCACTGTGAGTTCAATTTGTTCATCAAGTGATTTATTTCCTCGTCGATCTTCAGGTTTCGAGAAAATACCACCCGCTGTTCGAAGGTCTACGGAGTGTCGAGCTTGGTGCTCTGAACCACCAAACCAATTAGCCATTCGATCGCGACCCCAATGTGGTGGTAGCATTGTCAGCAGTCGTTTTTGCTCGTTGCTGTCGCTGATACTGAAGAGTTCCCGTAGATGATTTAGAATCGAAACAGCATCATCAATTGAAACATTCAGCGAGTCAAATATTTCAGGCTTTTCATCATGAAGGGAAGAGGGCATAATTGTATTACTCCACTCGCGAAGTTTGAAATAAGTTGCGTCGATAGCATTTGAAATTTGTTTCGTGTTGCGACTATGAAAAAATGAATTTCGTGTTTTTGATTTACAAAGAAAAGAACTCACAAATCATCAATTTTCTTCACATTCACCAAGTGAAATACTTGGTTCAACTTTAATTCGATATCTTCGTGTTCAACGTGGTCATCATCATCCATTGGAGACCATTGTTGAAAACCTGAATCGTCATGCAAGTTGTTGTAATTCAGACTTTCTTCACAATCATCAGCATCCACATTTGTCTCTTCGTCATTCATAAAAAGATTTTCTTCTTTTGTAAAACATGTTTCACAAAGATAATCATCTTCTGAAAGCTTTGTAGAAGTTCCATTTAAAACATTTTCATTATTACTATTGCTCTTTTTCCTTTTGGATGTGATGGTTTTTGACCAAATTTTAAACACCGGTTTTTCCCATTAGATGAAACTTCATCACGACAAGGATGAGAACACCAAATGTGCGATTTACCAGGCACAATTTCAAATGAGTTTGAGAAGTGACGAAAAATAGTTAAGTAATTTAGTAAGTGTATCTTAGAATCGACGAGGATGAATCATACGTTTTCTTTACGAATCCCTGATTTTTACTAAAAACGAAGCGCCTCCTTCTGTATTAATACATACATATATATATTATCGATTGATCTCTAACCTAATCAAAATATTTCTCGTTTCAAACTGCTACCATTACGATTTATACTAATTTTTGATAAATACTTCAACGAAATAAGTTAAACACACATCGATTTGTAGATTATAAACACTTAATTATGAAAATTTCGTCAAATGTTCTCTCTAGAACTTGCATTGCGGAGAAAGCTTATTAATAAATGTTCTAGAGCTAACTCCACTCTAATGAATCGATCAAGACTTTATTTTAGATTATTTCCATTTCTTTAATTAATTCTATAGTCTTTTACATTCACCCTCCATGGCGTACATATCACATAGGATCAAACAATATTTGATAGGTACTTCAAAGTTCGTACATTTCGTACATTATATTGTAGTTTTCCATGCTCAATCTGAATACATTATCAGACTTATGGTTTAAGTCAATACTAAGGTGTTATCAGTTTCATTTTTGTGAAAAAAAATTCATTTTTACTCGAAATAGTCAAAAAACCAAAATATATGCTTCTATTATTTTACCTATATGTTCGTGAAAATAGAGTTGAATATTCAATCTTTTAGTACCAAAATACTCGGCGTAAAAAGCTCTACAAGTCCTGAAACACTTTAAGGAATTCGGATATATTTATTTAGGCCAAAAAGTAAGATTTGAATAAAAATTTATCGTTGAAAATCGTGTTGATGCTCGTTCCTTGCAAAATCAGAGTCGGGAAGAAAACTGACTCGTACATGTTGTAGAGCACGTTTCACTCTATCGAACTGCTAGTGCCAATATTTCTATGAATTCAGACTTTCACAGCAAATTTTTCAAACACTGTGCCTCACTAGTGCATCGCAAAACGATCCAGTAGTCTGTGAAAGTTCTTCAAAATTATTTCAGTTCCTATGGATTCTGATGCAGTTTTTCACAAGGATTCTGAATATGTGGTTGGTTTTAAAATTCGAGTGAAAAAGTGAGATTTTCATCATTTTTTCAAAAAAAATGCTTTTTTTATTTACTTTAAAAAAGAAAAGTGTACTTTTTGTATTTGACCTCTATCTTCGCAAAAATACAATTTATTCTGGAAAAATTTATTACCAAAATGATCAGCGCAAAATTCTCTACAAACCCTGTAACTTTGAATGAATTTGAGCGTGGTCGCCGGATCGGCTGGCGATTTCCCGTGGAATGACCCACATTTAGATATATAGTGTTGTGTCCCTTCCCTGACACCCACATTTAGATATATTGTGTCGTGTCCCTTCCCTGGCACCCACATTTAGATATGTAGTGTTGTGTCCCTTCCCTGACACCTAGATGCATGTATACAAGGTGGCGGTTCTTCTTTTGAAACGTTCATTGTGAGTAATAAGCGTGTGTTTTGAGTTCCCGTACGCACAGGACACGGTCTATTTGTACGTGCTATGGAGAGGTTTGAGACTAAAAAAACAGGTAGCTGATTGTTTAGTGGTGCTGATGCGGTTTGAAACAGCTTCCAATGTCGAAGTTGTTAATATACGCGTGAAAAGGTATGGAATCACACAGTTGTGTTGTGATGCATGTTGTGTGGAGTAGAAGTCTGGAGTGTGCTATGAATACTATAAAGGGAAGTAATCATATTGTGGCAGTGGCGGCGGAGCCACTGAGACAGGTGAGGCTTGAGCCTCACCTAGTTTTTAGCATATGAGGCTCAGCCTCACCTAGATTTCGCAAGATGAGGCTCAACTCACTTGTTTTTGTACTGAATATTGCTATTTTTTATTCTTGCATCAAAGAAGCAGCAAAAGTATTTTTTGGTATTTTCAAATCTTTGTTTTTATGCTGACCATTTTTATTTTTTCTGAAGTTCAATAAAAAGAAGACTTATTTTCTGATTGATGCTTACATAAAATTCCACGATAGAAAAAAAAATGATGAGCCTCACCTAGCTTAATGACGCTCCGCCGCCCCTGTATTGTGGGGATGTGCTAGTCGTACTGGTTAGTTTCCCCATGTAACATTACTATTGAGAAATCTGATAGAACTGATGTATTATCCTAGTCCTTGGTAGTCCCTGGTAATCGCTGGTAGTCCCTGGTAATCGCTGGTAGTCCCTGGTAATCGCTGGTAGTCCCTGGTAGAATTTATAGATGAAATTACCGATTATACAAGTAATAAAAGATAGAAATAATTTGAATTACCTCTTGTCCCTGCTAGTCCCCTGTAGTCCCTGGTATAATCGTATGGCTTTTACTGTAGTGAGTAAGTAGTTAGTTGATTTTGAATTATTCGGTAATTCATTCCCTATGAATTACTTCGTAATTCAAAAGCGTCATCCAGTGAAGACCGGTGGAACATTGTTCATATTAATCTTGATTTCCTGAATATGTGCCTAAACAAAAATACGTGTAGACTACAGAATAAGTGAGCTATCATTGAAATGTAAGATTGATATCGAGTAATATACCTCAATTTCAATTATTAGCATTACTGAAGATGTATATCCTCGATAGATCAATTTGTTATTACTTACCCGTTGTGGAACGGTAGCAGTCTTAGTCATTTCTAATTATTTCAATAGGCTATAAAGCTAGAGAACGAATGATTACAAATATTTGAATAAATAAAATTTATATTTACAAATGATTGCTAAAAAGCACAGTTTATATAATATCTACTATTTGCTAAATATGTATGTTTTGAAATAATTGATCACTTTTGTTTTTACGAGAAAACTTAAAATGCTGTTTTGAATAACGAGGCCATGTAAATACTATACATCGGTAAAATATGTTTCATCTGCATTCTGTGTTCTTTATATACTAGATTCGAATTGCATGAAATGTTTTCTATGGGTATTTTAATGTTATTTACGTTCAGTCAATTGTGCGATATCAAGATAAGAAACTATTCAAAACATTTATCGAGCATTGACATAGCTAACTATTATTTCTTTTAAGCATGCTCTCTATCGATCGCCTATGTTAAACTGGCTATTTTCTATTGTTTTGAAACATTTGTCTATCCTTGCTATTGAATTAGCTAGTTTGGTTTGCCTGTTGTCGACAAGCACGATTAATAATAGCATTCACTATATTTCTTGCATTTACAGATCAGCCGGCGCATGTGTGCGGAAAATAGCATAATGATTTTTGTTTCATAAGTTAAAGTAAATATAATACCAAATTTTTTTTTCTTTCTCTTTCCGCTGTATATCAGTGTTTGTTTCGTTCGAAAACAAAGCAATACATCAAAAGAAATATTAGTTTCGAGTATTGAAGCAATGGATTTTGCTCTTATGCTTTGTTTAAATGGTACTCATGTTTTACGATTAACCGGGACAATTTTGAAGCGAACTAAGTGATTTCAAGAAGTAAAACATAGTAAAATGTTTTAGTATGATAAAAGGATTTCATATATACGTTTATAAGTAATCAACGAAATCTTACATATGAGGAAATCATAACAGATTTTCAAATTTCTTCAATGAAAAAAAGATTTGAAATTGTAACTAATGTTTCAGAAATGTTTTTGTGAATAGAATACTCATGGCATTGAATTTATGGACTGTATTTTCATGAATTTGTAGCTGGTTATTTTACTAGATCGTTCACAATGACATTGAAGAGTTTTAAAATCTCTGTTGAACTATAGTCTCGTACTTTATCACGCTGACAACATTTGGCTTGCTTAAGAGAAGACAAGTTGAAACTGATTTAAAAACTACTTGTCATTCATAGAGGATATATCGCTTTGTGACCATTCGCTAATAAATAGCTCATATGTGTTTCAATGACTGATTATTTATACTATGATTGTGAGTGGCGAAATCTCTAATAGAGAGGTACGCTCGACTGTTGAAGGCTCAAGCATTCTCAGAAAATTTTAAAAGTTCAACAAATCATATATACATATATTATGATAGATAATTAATTGCGTCTTTCCATATATCGGCTAAATTATTATGATATATTTTAAAATCGTTCTATCCTTCTATTTCAACTGATGCAGCACATATTTTCAATTGATTGCAACTTTGTTTCTATGGTTGCTCACCCGTGTATTGAACATGGGTTCAGTGAAGTAGGTTACCGATCGTTTGTTCTCGTGAGCATAAAACATTAAAATGTTATTTCTAGCAACCGGTGCAAAACCGCTAGCTATATCAAGGCATTATATCTGATTGAACACATTTGAAAAAATCAAACTAAATTGATAGTCGAAGTGACTGAAGGAGTTGATTCACGAATAAAAATAATTACAACTTTTTTTCTTTAGAAATTCGTGCAGAAAAATTATTCTTATTTTACTTTCGAAATTATATATTTTCTTAATAATGTGGTTTGAAGCGACCGTTAACTTTTTTTCACCATGTTAATGCTGAAAGAATTATTTTTTCAAGATGTTTAACACTTCGCTAAAACTCAGAGAGTTGGTTGGATGACAAATGAAGCTATAAATATAATGCGCTTTATCTTAAGACTTCATGGATCCACTATATTGGCAACTTGTCAATAACGCTTGGTATGACAAAAATAGTAAACGGTCAAGTATTGAAATAACTTGGCTGAAAAATCATCGATTTTTTAGTGATGTTAGCCAGTTCCTAAAAGAAAACTTTCGAGAAACCCACCCTCACTAGTTCGATACACACTCGCATGTGTTCCTTATAGTGAAATTAAACACTCAGTTCCAGTACAACCTTATACGATTTCAAAATAACAATGTCCATATTTAGAATTAACCTTCTGGTTATGGTTATCGTTCATCAATTGAAATTTCTATTGTTTATCTAAAATCATCATTAAGTATTCGGACTCATCTCCTTATAATATATATAAAAATTAAAAAATAGAACAAAAAAACTACAGTAATTGTCGCAATGAACCGGAATATTTTTCAATCATAAGAATGTCAAATTGACCAATGATGATCTAATCATATAATGTAAACAAGACAAACATTATTGTTTTATACATGAAGTTTGGACGAGATGAGTACTTGTAAAATAGTTTGAACAAAATGGCAATGCTTATTTGTAGAAAACATCCGGTTTGATCCGACTTGATGTATTCAGGCAAACTGTTTTGTGCAAAATATTGTAAACTTTCTATGGTAGATTGTTCTACATTGACTTCATCATGAACTATTGTCTTATAGCGAGAGAAAGCATAGAATAGTTTATTGAAACCAATGTCGAAAAATAGATAGTAGAGAAGATCTACACGTTTTACCATCGTCACCATTGCCGTCGTCAATTGACAAACTTGTCAATTTAATTAAAAAACTAACTTCCATAGAGAATGGTTACAATAAGATTAAATACACATACTATAAATAAGAAAAAGAGGACGCTGTTGAATAACAATATGATAAATGATGAGAGAAGCAAACCAATTCGATAACCTAGAAAAAATTGTTTCAAATTTTGGATAAAGCAGTCAAGTGTTATATTAAAGTAAACTTATATTTTGGCAATGATAGATCTTTATTGGAATGGTAAGGAAAACGTGCACGAAATTATCCATTACATAAAAGACTCAGCACTTTGAATATGTGAGATCGCTGTTCATGATAGCACATTGAATTAATGACACGTATGACAGAAAACACTGAAAAGGAAAATCTTCACTTAAGAAAATTTCCAAAAAGTACATTCTTTTTTACAGGAGAGACATTTATTTCAGTTAGCTGAAACAAAATAATTTAACTGAAATACGCAGTGTATTTATCCTATTCAGAGACGGCGCGAAGTAATAAAAGTATAGGGGGGTTACTTGAAAACGGGAGGTTTTTTTTCAAAAACGAGAGGTTTTTTCAAAAATTGAAACAAAAATTTCCAAAGTTGGAGGGGGAAACCCCCCCCGTTCGCGCCGTCCCTGATCCTATTCCATTTGTCCTCCGACCAATAATGTTAATTCACTCACTACTTTGCTGAAATCTAATATTTGTAGTGTACATCATAGTCAAATTTCAATTCATATCGATGTAATTCAAAATGAGAAACGTTGTATTTTCTAGTATGAGTTAGCTCTTTGCTAGAAAATAAGCAGATAAAAACTTTCCTTATGTCGTTTATGTCGACGTATATTGATACCCATCATGTATCGCGAAACTGCAATCACAGTATAGATATGTTACTTATTAATTATTGCTGTTAATGTATCTCAATCATCGCAAAATACGATAGTAATCGTCATTATTTAAGTCTTATGAAAATAAAATTTACTGGCGACAGCTGCAGATTTTTTTCGAATAACTCGTTCAAATTCAATGATACGTTTTTTATATTGGTAAAGTTGGCATCATAGACTATGTAACTTCATATGCTTGTCACGAAATTCAATTTTTTTTTAATACCGAAACAGGGAGAAATCTTTACAATTTCAAACAAAAAACAGCCATCCATCCATGAAAAAGAATTCTTGCTTATTATTCAATATCTTTTCGTTTGAATGCATACAGTTTCTGTCCTTTCTTCTTTTCATCAAAATTAATGGACGATAGTGTGATGTTGAAGAAAAACAATTTGTTGAACTTTGTTTTTTTACATCCGTCAGATGTGAATTTTTTCGTCGAATTCGCTCGTCTAGAAAGAAGAAAAATATAGACAATGATATTTGTTTTCTTCGATCATGATAAATTAAAGATGAGATATGCCATTATTCAATTATTGAACAATATATCGTATTCTTCACACTAATTGCACACCGTAGCATCAATAATATTTCTATCAGAGTAATTCTAAAACAAACAAAAGTTCATTGTTCACTTGAATGTTGATCTGTTATCTACTAATTATTCAATAGTAAATACAATAGCTGATCCGTTCATTTTTTTTTCATAAAAACATTTGAATTTCTTTAATTCTTAGACAATTCTTTTGTCATCATAAAAATTAAAATGAAAACAAAACTTGAAATACTTCCACCTGAAATATTGTCAATTATATTTTCTTATTTATCATGGAATGAAATTTTAGAATCATTTTGGTTGCTTAACACACGCTTTGATTCTCTTATTTGTTCTTTATTTTCTGTAAATAAAACTGGAATCATTTTAAATAAGCCAGGCATTTCGTATCAAAAATTTTCATCAACATTATTTCCTTTAATATGTAATTCATTGTCACTATGTTCTGCTATTAAATATATTCATTTCGATGGACTTAATTCAATATCTTATGATATCATTGGTCAAATTCTTTTTGGTAAGAATAATACAAAAAACATTAATTTTCCCAATCTTAAATCACTTAATCTTACTGAATGTTCGTTGTCTGAATCATTAATTGAAACGTTATCTTTTCTTATTCAAAATCAATTGAATCAATTGAAGTTAAAATTCAATGAAGAAGCCTTTGCATTAATTGAAGCTCAAACAAAATATTGTTCAGGTGGTTTAAAATCGGGTAAGCAATTGCTAGCAACGAGGAAATAGTTCGATTTTGTCAGGATTGAATCCATAAATTTCCGAAGAAGCAAAATGAAGCCCAACGAGAAAGGTTGGGGGCAAAATAAAGTTTTGATATTTGATTTTCGTTTCTTTTATTACTGCAGTGCAGTAAAATTGCTGAATTCACTATTCTGATACAAACTAAGAAGGTATTTTGTCTGATTTTCTAGTCTTAAATCTATCAAAATACAACTAGAATGTGTCATTAACTATAAAAAAATCAACTGATTAAGCACATGTGTATCGACATGTAAGAAATAAGAAGAATAAACAGTTCGAATTTACATCTCAAAATGAAATTATAGTTCATTTTTTCGTTGAGAAACGTGTATAAACTAGACACAAACAATGTGTTACTAGTAAAAAATTAATTAGCATTTACAACTTTCTGACATCGACAAAAGCCGCCTAGAATTTGGATGCACCTTTTAGAGTAGGATTATAGACATTGATGAATTTCGGTTTTTATGTCGTATTCTTTTATTCTAGGAAATTTCATAGATCTTTTCGAGATAAGACCAAATTTTTATGGGCGATCTGTCAACTCTTGCTACGTGCATACTACATACTACTATTCGAGCTGATACTTGTTAACTAAATATACTCATTCATTTCTAACAGTTTTTTTCTTTTTATTGTAAACATCGAAAAGACATTGTTCTTCCATGTTATCTGAAGTACACATTCATCTGATTGCGCAGTTACTTTTTCATTGAGACCATGCATACTATTTATGTCCAAATGAACTATGAACAATTTGAAAAAAAAGCAGTTCGCCTGTTTAGCTTATAGCTATGAAGATATTACATTTTTATGATACGTTTTAAATAAACATTGAAGATGAAGAAAAGTAAACTTAGACATTCTTTATATTCAAATGAGAACGTCAGATTGGCTTTTTTTTTCATCTGCATTGATATACACGACATTTAATTACTATATTTGTATCTTCTTTGAAACTTTCTCAAAAAATAAATATGATCTATGTGAAGAAGAAAAAACTTTTAATTTCAAACTTCAATAATGACTTATTCTATTCTTTTTTGTTCTATTACTATTAAACAGGTAAATTAATGTATCGCTGGCAACAATTTATACATCAAATATTCTCTGATGATTCTCAATTGATTTCTCTTGAACTTGACATTAGCAAATCCAGTTATTACATTCATAAATGTTTAAAATCTTATTCTCATCCTTTATCAAACGCAACTTTTTATGAATTTCATTCTTGTTCTGCAATGCTACGCTATTTACACATTCATATTAAACATCGATACTTTCTGGAAGATCTCATTTTATGTGTACCCAATCTTGAAGAATTATCAGTTCAATTTCAAAGTTCACTAACCATTTTTACAGAACCTGAGTCAATAATTCAAATGATAAAATCACCACACGAATATTGGTTTAATAAAGTAAGATTAATACCAACTCTTGTGGAAACAACCGTACTATAATAAAATTATTTGACCTTACAAAAATTACAGAAGAAAATCAAGTGCAATCAGCTAGATTGAGAGTTCCATATTCTTTCTAACGACATAATTCGAAAGGGCATCAAATTCTCATTCTTTGAAGTAGAAACATATACCTAATAGCCAAAACTGACAAAATGTTTTTGTAAATAATCAAATTTTTACACAAGAAAAGCATTACTTTTGTCATCAAAATCTGGTTAAAAAAAAACGATTATAGTCGCCAGCGCTAATGCGTGTCAGTTTTCGAATAAAACAAATTGTAAACTTCCCTTCTGTTGTGATATTGCCATTCGAGACTTCGTATGTCGAGCTCGCGTTTGAGAAAGCATGAAAAACGTTTCTAAAATACTTTCTACATATACATAGTAATAGAATAATTAGAACATTCATTGATATCAATAAAGGAATATGATATGTTACTTACAGTATCCTTCAGCAAATGGCAGCATACTTAAGAAGAAAATTTCTGCAACAGGGCGTTTTACACTCCACACCTATATCTTTCAAACATTTTGAAATAATGCTTCAAAAGCGACAAAAATGTGTATGTGGCCCTACCCAGTGAAAAATATTACTAAAAAAGAACGGTAAAGAATGCGTTCCAAAAGAACTGAAGCTCTTTTTTTAAGAAAAGAAAACGTTCCACAACAAATGGAAACCGTTCTCAAATGGAACGAACTAGAACGCATTCTATCATTCTAAGAAGGTGTTCTTGGTCGTTTCGAAATGGAACAGTGAAGAACGCATTCTGCCACTTGTGGAACGCTTTCTCTTCTTTAAAACGGTTAACCTTTCTGATCACCTGGGTGATCATTAATAGATGAATCTACAATTAGTCAAAAGACTGTTCCTGATGCAACTTGACGAGCTCTATCGAATGGCGTACTCCAATTCGTTGTAACTGAAACCGTTATTAAAATAATAATTTTTCTAAATCAGACCAAATATCCCTAAAGTAAAATCGAATGAAGATTCCATCATTTCTCACATCAATTTCAACCTGCTTTGCTTCAGACCTTTCATTTTAGAATGAAAATGTGGTTTGCTTCGAAAAGAAAGCATTCATCTCTTCAGAGAATCCATTGTCTTAAAGGCTCGTGAGAGAACGTAAAAGGAAGCTATTTTATTTCGATGAAATGCTATGTTAACCGTTCCGAAAGAAAATGAACTAGAATGAATTCTACTGGTTTAAGAATGATTCAGAATGCTTTCTCTTCAAATAGGGAACGATTTTTCAGTATAGAAGAAAGTATTCCATACTAGTGTGGAACGGTAAAGAACGAGTTCCTTCAGATCGAGAATATTTCTTTCTGACTCTGAACGCATTCGCTCAAACAAGGAACGCATTCTCTACGTAGAAGATAGGTTTCCATATCCGCATGAAACCATTCTATTCCGTTTTTTTTCGAAATATTTTTCACTGGGTATCTCTCATACGTTATATTATGATTGGTTTTTAACTTTTTGGATATGAAATCAAATGATTGGTTAAAATTTGGGGTAGTTTTTCCGATTGAATCACTCGAACTGATTGACGACTTTCTGAAAACTTTTATAAAAACATAGCAAGGTTGTTTTCGTGTCCTTCGTCAATTTAGGGTAGACTTACAGATCAATAACACTGACTCAATCATGCAGTTTGGTATATCCTTGGGGGATTAGTATGATTACTTAACTAGAAATCCATGCACTATTAAACTAGTGAATTTGAAATTTGAGAGCGTAATTAACTTCATACCTATGCTATGTAGAATAATCTGTAAATAAAAGAAGAGTTCTTCTTCATATTATACACATACTTAACACACATAGTCTAGTTTAATAATCCATGAGAGAATGAAGGAGCGTCCATAATCTGCGTACAAAAGAAGTAGGTGACATTAATACAAATATATTATCTTCGTATTTCGCACATTTACGATTTTAAAGTGTTTTTTGCTTAAAAAATAGGTGCCAAAATTGAAGTATTTTACATTGAAGAGTCATGTTGATGATGATGCAGAATTTGCTTATTTAAAATGGCTTCTTAACAACGTTAATCATGTTATAAAACTTAAACTTCATTTATCGAATAGCGGAATATGGCGAGCAGATCAAACGATATGGAAATCTATGATTGATGCAGATTTTATTGTTAAATATTTTTTACCTGATGAAATAATGAATTTAAAATATTTTGAATTTTACATTTGTTCAAAATGTAATACATTATCATATGATATGGAAAAAACAATAAATTCATTTAAAACAAATAAATTTTTTGTTGATCATGAAAGCACTAATGTTCATTGTTTCTATGATGAAAATCTGTCATATCAACATATTTTCTCATTTGGTCCAAATCATTTTCGACATTTTCACGGTTTATGGTAGCAAAATTTTGTTTTCTTTTAATAATAATTGATAAATATTGATTTATTTAGTAATCATTCATATGGTGACGATTGGCCGTACATTCGACAAATTTATATTGATTGCCATCCATCGCTGTATTTATTTCTCGAACGATTGGATGTATATTTTCCTCGTGTTTCTTCTATTATTATTCCTATCTGTAAGAATTTTCTTCAATGCTTTTTGCTAGGATATTTATCAAATGAAGAAGTTTCATTCGATACAGAGTGTCATGGTGATTCTGAATTTCAGTTCGACAGTGGAAACTATTCGAAGTCATTACACCAGTAGAGCCCATCGAAAATACTCAATCGGACCGAGATTCCCATAAATAGTTTACGTTTACAAGGACTTTTTCAAAATTTTTATTTATCGTTCATACAAAGTAGTCGAAGCACTGCTTCAGATTTACATAAGAATAATGAGTATGAAGTTATCAATGTAATTCGAAGAATAATCATCATGATTTTTTTCTTCTTCCGGCTATTGTCAACGAAAACTATGAATCTTATGTGTTTTTTATAATGAAAGGTACAAAATAAAGCTAGTTTTCTGATTAGGATCTTTCATCAAAAACACCAATGTACGATTGAACTGGGTTTGAGATTTATTTTAAATGAATCAATTTATTTTTCGATAGATAACTACCCGGATAAGTCGCAGCTTCTCAAGTCGTTAACAGGAATATTCAAAATGGAACAATGCAATCAGAATAGTATTCGATTTCAAAATGTAACAAAACTTCAATTTGGACTTAGCTTTTCTCATTGCATAAGTACGTATAAAGTATTTTTAATGTCATGATTATTTTACTAATATTGCTGACTTTAAGATGCCTTAAGCTTACTCAGATACTTTAATTGCTTTGAAAAATTAAAGACTAACTTTTTATCGTAGGGCGTTGCGTCGTAGTTTCGTATTATGGAATACTTAGTCGATCTCCTTTAGTGAAGTAAATTGACTCTATGTCAAACTATTCGATAACATGTCTTGCAGCGATTAGTTACACAGCATTTGTTTTGCTGTGGGAAGGTTTGTTGAAATATTTCAAGTTATCACATGCGTTAATGAAAATTATCATAAATTAATTTATTTTTCATATGCATGCACATATTTTTCGAAGGATTTCAAAACTATCCAGAAGAAAAAATACTAGTTTCTCATATCATATTTAATAACACTATTCTCAACCTACGATATTGTTCTAGGCCTTCTCAACTACTAGTCGGTGGATTTCAATGAGAAATTTGAACGAAAACATGAGTTCTTAAACTTATTTATCATTTTTCTTCAAACAAGACTTTTTTCAGAAGAATTGACATTCGTTTCGCATGATTCAAGACATGAAAAGAAATATCTTTTATCTTTTGAAGCCCAAAATGTAAAATTTTGTTATTTATATTTGATCCCTAGGGGAAGAAAAGTTGAGCTCAAGGCGGAGCTGATGGGCTTTTTTAGTCTAATTTTGATCTCTAATTCACTAAAGCACATAAAAAATGAGCAAAAGTAGCTTATTTTTGTTGGTTATCTCTGGTTCAATTGGATATCTAGCTGATATTTTCAGTTCGGATAGATCTTAGTCAGTGACAACACGAATCTAAAGTGAAGAGACGACTTAAATTAATAGTAAAAACAAAAATACATTTTCATTTGAAATAATAAAGATGATTATTGTATTCTTAAGGAACAGGAACAGCTAGGAAATTCATCTGTATGAGTTTTTGATTTTCTAGCAATAACTAGATAAATCTATTATTTCACCTTATATCAGTTCACTATGGGCTCATGAGGATGGAAATCGATACTGACGCCCCTACTCGTCTGTTATACAATAATTCCTTCGAAAATTAATTCGTTTATAAATGATGTCGAAGTGAGATTTACTTTTTTTAGGTCCTTGCAGTAGTGTATCAGATGAGGACAAAGTGCGTGCAAAACTATTTGCAAGACTTATTTCGATGCCTGTCCAACTAAAATATCTTCATGTTGGACAATTTGAATGGCTTTTGTATGTTATTCTATATGTAAGTATTGACTTTATTAGAAGTTTATATTGACATTGATCATGAAAAAGGAATTCGATGGGCTCAAGTGAAACTTTTATGGAGATTACTAAATATTATTATCTACAACATATAATTACATACGAATACTCTGACGTTTTATTCGATTATCTATGTATTAAAATACTTTTTGTAATCACTCGTTAGATATTCGGAATATGTTTTGTTTAAATCAGTTTAATGCGATCTACTGAAAATGATGGAATGTCATATGGATATTAAGAAAACATAAAACTGCATAAATTAAAAATAGACAATTTGTTCGTAAGCAAATCAAATAAAAGAACTTCTCATATTATTTTTAGGCTTCTGACGATTTGAGACAAAATGCATTAACTAGTGTTGTGTATGCTGAATTCTGCATTTCAAGCTGTAACCGTGGTAACAATGAATCAATTCATATTGGTAAACACTTGGTACCTCTGCTGAATACTCATATGCCTAATTTACAAACATTAAAGCTCTGGAGACCAGATGATTTTCCGTGGACATCGCGTAAGTTTATTATTCGAAAAAATGACTCATTCTTAACTATTTATAAAAAGAAAAAAATTCAAAATTCAACAGAACTGACTTGTAGAAAACTTTGACTTTCTTGGCATATTCTTTCTATTTCAAGTTGTACGAAATACTCGAAATCTTAACAGATAGTACTTCTTTTTGTCGTTGACTTTCATACGGTTTGCGATGTGGGCCATGAATATATATTTTGATTCGACCATTGTTCGACCAAGACAATCATAGAAAAACAAACTCGAATAACTGAAAATATGACATTTATAATTTTCAACTTTTTGAAAGTTTTTTTTTATTTTTCCGCTGAAAAGTTGACTGGTTGAGGAAAAGAAAACATAGATTCGATGCAGCATTTTATGCTGATTCTAGATATGATACTTGTAGTTTATCGGATGATGATAGTGACAGTCACTAAAAACGAACGCATCTTCCTTCCGTTAGCCATCAAACGCTACCGAATAGCAAACGAATTCAATTTTCTCAATAATACACTCAAATCTAAAAGGTCTAATTACGCAATGACATATCTTATGATTCTAATGAGATAAGACATTAGCTTATGTCGCTTGCTACAAGATATTATATAGATTTTCAAAAAGAAAAACGCTCATATAATAATATTCAACTATGTTTGTAGAAAAACAACAATGGTCGAGTGGAAATAAAAGCTGTATATATTTATATTGCTTTTCGTAACCGATTTTTTTCAAGCACATATAGATGAACGAGAGAAAAAATCACTGAGATTTCGCATTTTAGGCACAACATATTGTTTGAATCAATTTCTTTTCGGTATGGTTTTGCAAAACTTTCGAGCTCGATTTTTGTCTGATTATTAAAATTTTATTTCCGTAAAAAAATCAAAAAAACACATTTTCGATACATTGACACTGTGAATTTATCTGACCGTCTCTCTTTTATATTCTTCAAGTTCGGCCTAATTTTAAAACAGGACACTTTTACTGGTCTGCACTCATGCGATGGATGAAATTGTTAGCAACATCTCAATCAATAAGTATGCAATTTTTATATATTTATTGAGGAAAATAAAAGCGATTTTAATATTTAGATGAGCATGTAACTACTTTTGAACAAGATCTTTATGAATTAGTTGACAAATTAAAACGATTTACATTTCTTGAGATTCATGGGAAAGTTTCTTATGAAAAAGTTGAAGCTTATCGTTCTATGACTCAAAATCATTTTTCACAATGTCGAACTGATATTCAAACAACACGATTTCGTCTTTGGATTTAATTTATTATTCTAAATATGGCGTATATTTATATTAAACAAAACTGTTATCTCGGCAATTTTTTTCTTTTTTTGGTTTGTTCGTTTTTATTTAATATTCAATAGAATCTTAAATTTTTATTAAAATAAATTTGATTTTGTTCAATTTCAGTAATTCTTGTTTAATTTTTGCAATATCGTTTGAATTCTTAAATAGAAGCGTGAATTCATTCAAATCAAATAACTATAGCTGTGAAGATATTTCAAGATTTAGTATAATATTCAAAAAATTATATAAACAATCAATTATCGGATAGCATTAGATTCATGTTTGTAAGAGTCCTGATTCTGACTGCATAACTCATGTGAATAAGCTGATGCTTAACTGCGAAACATAATAAAAGAAATTTTATATACCAATTAGTTGTCATTACGGAAAATTATTCCTAAAATAAACATCAGGTTATGATAAAAGTTCTAGAGGTATAGCAAAAGTCGTTGTACCAGTACGATAATGTAAACGTACCGCTGGAAGAAATTATTTTTTCGGTTCATATTCATTATTCATAACAAACTCATTTAGGAGATCTTACTATTTTAGTCCTTCTCCAGACTTTGTTCAAAATAGGTAAATACGTGTATATATATAGAAAATAGTAAAATAATAATAATATATCAATTAGACAACGGATCTCATCGGAAATAAAGAGAAAGAAAAACATGATTTTAAAAAAAAAAAAAAGTAACCGTATGGTAAATGAGCAGAAGAAAAAAAAATATTTATTTTAAAACTACATTGAATCTTTTTCTTTTTGAGTTATTTTTTAAGTTCATGGTAACTTTGATGAAGCATTCAATCAGTCATCATTAATTGCTGTCATCAGATGTTCTAGAAAAATAAATGAAATAGTTTTTACTAAAAATTTCATCAGATTAGAATATAATATTGACTTGACTGAACTAAGATAGAGTCTAGTAACCGAGACTTATGCATTTCTTTCTGTGTATAATCTTACGCAAATGATCATTTACATGGTTCAACTAGCCCATTAAGTGATAAAAATGGCAATTTCTATGATCAAATTAATCATTAGGATGGCAGAAATTAGCATTTCTGAAATACGAAATGATCGTTTGAATGGTCAAAGTGAATATTGATATGATACAAAGAAGTGTTTCAATGATACAAATGACCGATTTCACACTTCTATATGTTTTTTGTTTCATGTTTTAGCTTCGTCAGTCTATGATCAGATGGATCGATTCTCGATTCAACTTGCTGGAAAACAAAACACTAATTATATTATCCTCTTACTACAATCAGTATGCAATAAAAACGTGGACTGCAACACAGCTTTTAAGCTTATTCTTTTCTCCTCAAGATCAACATTTGCCAATAATTATATTACCCATAGCTTCACTAAACATAGGCAGTTGTTGCTGATCATTTTTAATTAGGTTATAAAAATGATCAACTTCATCTGGCCGAAGTTGCCATTCATATTGTTCCTTTTTTGTTGATAGATCGATCAACATCTGTGCCAAGTCCACTTTTCCTGCTGCTGATTGAAATCGCACACCTAGATGACCTTTTTTCGACCGACAATCGTATGTGATCCATACTGATGTCGGTTGAATCAAGTCATCTTCTTCCAGTCCTGAAAATCAGAAAGTAAGAAAAAATAGACTGGATAAAACTTTATTTATATGTTAAATTAAACAATTCCTTTTTAGATAAAAACAAACCTTTTCCCGTGCATTTTATTATATCTTCAAATAAATGGAAGGTAACTATTGAAAAACTTTTAACATCTCCATTGAAACTTAGTTTCAATAGAAATACTCGTCGATTATTATTCATTTTAATTACGCGAATAGAACAATAGAGACCTTAGTCTTAAAGTCTACCGCAATTCTGTAACATCATCTGAAAATTTTGACAGATGATTTTTTTATTAAATCTTTAAATCTCGTTAAGTCTTATAGCTCTTTTTAATTTTCATGAAATTATCTGAATTTTCTGTTTTCAATAAAAAATATTTTTTAAATATTTTCTCTGTAGCTATTCTTTATTTTGTAAATAAATTTTCTTTATATTAATTTTAGAGGAAAGAAGCTTCATATAGAGGATCAATAGTTGGTTTACATTCTTGACAGCTAAGCGAGTTTACAGATTATGACAGTTGATTGGAAATATGAATCTACAATTTGAACAGATACGTAGGTAATCTTATTGAAATTGATGAGTTCTACTCGGAAATATCTTATTATATGTTCTTTTATCATTTCAGTATAATATATTGATTTTAAATGAAAAGAGATTTGCCGACGAAAAAATCTTTACCTGCATCTGCAGCAATATCCTCGATCTCATCAGATAATAAAAAACTGACAGCATCAATTATAGTGGTTCTACAATTCAGTCATTGCAATAAATAAAATTCGGATGTTTCTGCTTGAAATATCCCGCGTGTTTCTGGATTGAGTGGTTGTTGGAGTAAAGCGAAAGCAAGCCGTATATAGTCCGGATTTTGTTGGATACCACCGCAAATGAATAACGACGCATCAGATATTTTCTTGAATTCGATAGATTTGGAGCCAGGAGTGCTCTTGAGCGTTTCCGTGATATGCTTTACCAGATCCTTAATCAGACTCAAGAGTATTTCTGGTAATGTTGATTGCGTGCTGCAATCTACGGCACATGAATGGTGCTCCAAAAAACAGAATGAATTATCATCGTGTTTGATATCGATTAAAAAGCCATAACAGCCAGTTAAACCTGTGGTGGTAATTGAGGAATCACTATATTGCATTTTATCAATATGAACAAATACGTCACCTGAAAATAGATAGATAACATTAGTCGTCAGTATGATTGCCTTATTTTCAAATTCTACATTTAAAGAAAATTTGTCTGAATAGTTTTTCGCTCATTCAGATGTTTTTAAAAGCAGACTGAACTTTAGTTTCCATCTATTTAATTAGCTTTGTGTTCATTTTAGAAAGTTCTATAAAAAAAAGTATTGTCCATGGGATTTTTTCTAAACATTAAATAGAAAAAATATTTGACAGCGAAATTATATTTTGAATAAATTGAAATAGCAGACAATTATATATTTAGATCAGAGAACATCTCGAGAAAAACTTCATTTTCTGTCTCTTCTGAAATTTGATTAGTTCAGATTGATTCATTCTTTTGACACATTTTTTTTATTTTAGAAAAAAACTTTGCTTGTTTAAATACACTATTTCTTTTTTTTCAATAAGAGTAGATCATCTCAAATTAAACAAACGTCAATTATAAGCAAAACAAACATTTCATGAACAAGTCACAATATTTTGCAATGTTTTTTCGGTTGGCCGTAGAAAGGCCGAAAGGAAAAATGTCGAAAGGGAAAAATACCGAAAGAAAAATATCGAAAGGGAAAAATGTCGAAAGAAAAATATCGAAAAGGAAAAATGTCGAAAACAGAAAAGATAGAAAAAAGCGACGTCTCTACTAAATGAAGGTTCTAATAGTTTATTGTTCATTGTTGTTAATCTGATTATTCCATTGGTTTGACACTGATAACCATTGATGCTATTGATCAGTAATATCTAATGAAAACTAGCTGAAATAGGCGTAAAATAGTATACAACGATTAAAATTCTATCATGATGACTACAGCCTTGCTCATTTTTATCTGGTGAGAATCATTCACCATCTCCAGTTATTTCATTTATTAAGTCGCAAAACGATATTATGATGGTCTTATTAATGTAATGGAGTATTTAAATGGTTTGTCACTTACAGTTGCTAAACGGAAAAAATGACACTTTATAATTATTTCTTTTTTTTTACTCTTATTATCTATGATCTATGCTATGGTGCTATTATGATTTCAAGAATAAAAACATCTTAGTGCAAATTTTCGATATTTTTCCCTTTCGATATTTTTTCTTCGGCATTTTTTCTTTCGACATTTTTCCTTTCGGTCTTTCTACGGCACACCGTTTTTTCAACTATATTCGGTTCCAATGAGGGTAATATTAACAAAAGTACGATAGTTTAATTCGAATGATCCTGGAAGCTATAAAAAGATTTTTATTTTCGGTTCAGAAAAAAAGTGGCATACTGACGATCTAGAAATATTTGACCATATTGTTTTAGTTCAACCTAACCTTCTCTCTCATTTATAGATGCTATTTACAGAGATTAGATGAAATCACTTCGAATTTGTTTCGAACACAGCCGAGGTAGTTTCAAAATTTTTAAAATAGATCCAATGACTGATCCTTGATGGATCACCACGTAAATTAAAAAAAAGAAACAATTTTTATTTTGACTTTTACCTGGAGCAAAAACAGTTAAATCACACATTGTTCTTATTTAAAAGAAATTCAAGATTGTGAAAAATAAATATCTAAAAGAATGGGATTTTTAAACCGAAAACGTTGTAAAGGTCTATTTTTTTTTTGTTTCTAAATTGAGAATGATGATAAGAATATATAACACGATAATTTCTCTGTAATATCTTAATCTAATAAAATATTTTTTTCTAATAATCCGATATATTTTCCTCATTATCTAATATCCAATCTCGACTTCTAAGTTAGCTTTACATTAAATGATTCGACTAGATTTATTTTAAAATTATTTCATAAAAACAACATAGAAAAGAAAACTAACATCTAAGCAAAGCTAACGTCAAAACATGTCATTTATGCGGCGTTCGATAATCATTGTTCAACAATTTCTACGATGACAAGATAATTTTAAAAGTAGTGTAATATTCATTGAAAATATTTAGATCAGTCCAATAAATCTAGAAACAGAAATCAAGTAGTTGAAATTAGTCTTTAGTTGATGAAACAGCGCATGCACAAAAAACAATCGTTGATTTTGACAAAAGAAATAACAATTTTCTTTCTTGTTCTATAGGAGACAGATATTCATACATATATAGTCTTGTCTGCACAATGAAAACGAATGACAGTCGAATGAATCACATACAAATGAGATAAACTTGTTGAATTTACTTGATTTCTTTATATTCAGTTAGTTCTTTGATTATGTCATCTTTCTATCAATAGAATTTCATCAAAAACAATATATTAACAAAATTATTCTCACGTTAATAAAAATATTTTATCATTTGGTTCAAAACAAAACATTTCTTTTAGATTGACAAGCGTATCGAACGGCCAGAAACACAATGATAAGTCATAAACTACGACTGATGGTCGACGCACGGAATTTGTTGGCAATATAGAAATTTTACCGCCGCAAGATAATTCTTCAAAACGTTTCTTGCTGTCAAAATAAAAGAATTTACTTTGATTCGAATGCATATCTATATTTTTGTATAGACCACGTTTGACATACAATCTTGTGTGAAAGCCATTTGAACTATGCTGTTTATGGAGCTATATTGATTTCGATTAAAAAAAAATGATTATGCCGCCTTTGCAAAATTTTTAGTTTTAGTTTCAAATAATTTTTCATTATTGATTACATAAAAGTAAAAGTAAAACTATCGCTATGAAATATTAACATCTGATTGATTTTTTTGCGAAGTAGCACATGTTTTCGATGTCGAAAGAGACAGTCACTCAATTTGTCAGTGAATAATTAGGTATATTTCCATTTACTAGTACAAAATATGATCGGTTTCTTGATGAAAATGTTTTGAATTCGAACTGATTTTTATCTCACAGTAGCCAATAATTGTAACTTTATTTATATGAAAGATGATCGACATGTCACTTGTGACATAAAAATATCCGATAAACAATATCTCATATTTTTACATTAAATACAATTCACAGTCAACCATTAATCAATTATTTTCTGAAGTTGTGATGAAACAGCTAGGGACAACAATTCATCTTATAGAGATATATTGCTATTAGTGTTGATCTTTTATGAAATGTAATAAGAATTGATGAACAACATTCTTATTTTAATTATTTTCGAAATATTCTATTGTTTATAAACATACAACTGATTAATTTATAGATAAATTGACAATAGAAAATTCTGAAATTTATTCTTGTTTCCTTTATTTGTATATTTAACGATAGTTTCAAGATTTATTTTATTTTATTAATCTGAATAGACAATTGAACTTGACCAAATTTTTAATGGACTAGTTTTTATTTAGATGTTTTTAAAAGGTCAAAAATAATATTCAACTTAGTAGTTTGTAGAATTTTTAGGTGACAATCGTGAAAAATCTACACATTTTAAAATATGTAGAAGAGATGAAGTCGGAATTTTTCTTCATATGAATGAATTGAGTTTGTCAGATTGTCTCTTTAACGAAGCCTTTTTCTACCCTTAGAGAAGTTAAATCGTAATTGAACAGTTACTTTCGAAATATTAGTTTGTTTCGTTTTTTTTCTTTATTTAGCAATTAATGCAACTTAAGAGTGTTTTTCGGTGTAAAACCATGATTTTAATAAATTGAATTTTGTAATCTCATTGCGAAGTTTGTCTATATAGTTTTCCAAATGGAAATGTTCAAATGAATAATTGAAATGATTCTATAGTGAAATGGCGGCATTGTAAGAAAAGATTCTCATTAAAATAAAATATTTCTGTCAACAGAGAAAATTTCTATTCTATTGTTTCATTATCAACATGAATTTATTTCTAAATTAAATTTTTCAATGTAGTGAAGGTTACCAATCATCTCGTTTAACGAATTCTTCAAATTAACAAAACAAATGTTGTGTTTTTGAGATGATAAAACATATTATTTATTTTCTATTCATCGATGAAATTAATCATTGATCTTATTTTAATTGGTAAATCTTAACTGATTATTATGAAGAAAATGTTATTCTATTGAAATATTTATAACTAAACAAAAACTATTTGAAGAACAAACAGAAAAATAATTCTATTTAGACTGATTTCAAAAGATCACATGAACATGAACTATTTGAGTTTTAATGATTTAGATATGAGAAAGAGTTGTTGTCTAGAATAAAGAATGAGAGAGATCATTTTTCATAATATCAATCTTTTGAAAGATTAGACATTCATCCAGGGCAAAAGGCGAGACTTCTTCTACTTAACCGTACTCATGGGCTGTGTAAAAGGTTTGCTCGCAAAATCGTTAGTTATTTCTATACTTCTAGCAGTCAGTGTGACGGCGCAATCTTATTAGACGATGCAGTCCAAATACGTCATTGTACTTCACTTTTAATCAAACCTTAAAGTACATCGCGGTATTTGGACTCCAATTACTATACCGTAATACTGTCTACTAGAAATATTGAAATAAATTCAAATGATCTTTTTTAAAATAAAATTTTTATGACTACAACAGTTGATTTGATTTTATATTTTTGTATATTCTAGTTAATTTAAATTCGAATCTTTTTTTCTTTTCAATAGATGAGAATGATTTTAGTCTAGAATTTCGAATGTTAATTAAAGCAACTTAGAAATAGTTACTCGTATCAATATTTATTGAAGAATATTAAGATCAATTTTCAAGTGAAATTCAATGAAATATTTTACAAAGAACAATTATTTATCATCGAATAAATTCGTTTCTTTTTTTTCTAAATGAAATTTCTCCATCATTCTTTCTTAGTTATTCTTGTAAATCGCTAATGGTTTTCGATCAATTTTTTCTTCAATAAAATACTAACAACATTTCATTTCAAAGAATTCTTTTAGAATCAATTAAAATTCGATCATGGAGAAATATGTATCAATGCATTCTTGTCATATTAATTATGAAACAGGTATTTAAAGAAAAATGTCTTATCGAAATTTATTCGGGAGAGAAAATGATAATCATGAAACTATATATCTAATTCGTTTAGAAAACAACAATTGGATGCATGAAAGAGATAGTTTGACAGATTTTAATGAAATGACGAATGAAGTTCAAAGATGGAGTAATGAAAATAATAAATATTTAATTCGTCATACAATAATACATAATCTTCTTTTGATGGGCAAAACTGGAACAGGTAAAACTACAATCTCAAAAGTTATTGAAAATCCTTGTTACGTTCCACCAAATGCAAATATTTATTCGGGAACAAAACAAATCAGTATTCATTCTGTTTCGACAACATTAAATAATTCCAATGATATTTTTTTATTTAATATAATTGATACACCTGGAATGTTTGATAAAGTTAAAAAACAAAATAAATTAGTTATAAATGATAAAATAAAACGAACTATTGATAAATGCATTTAACAAGATCTAACAAATATAATTACCTGTTAAAAAATTTTTTTTTTGTATCTTTTTTATATTTTTGTCTTTCTGTAATTGTGATAGAGTAACTCTATGAGTTCGCTGCATTCCTAGAAGCTCTGTAAAATAGTAGGGTGTGGGTGTGGTTGTTCTCGTTCGAATAGAAGACACCCACACCCACACCCACACACCCTCATAGGCGGTGGAGCCTGCAGGCTCACGAGACTTGAGTCTACTCTAGTTTGGAATAGGATAGGCTTGAGTAGACTCAGACGAGCACAGTTAAAGGCTTGGTAGGTTCAAACAAGAACACTTAAAGGCTTGTGTAGGCTCAATTATATCTAAGTCTTTCATTATTGTTTAGTTTTCACGTATGACTTGCAGCGTCAGTAACATATGACGTATTGTTGTGAAGTTAATTCATATTTTCTTTATCACCAATACGAACTGGAATTCAATAAGATATTCATTGGGCTTTATAAAATTTAAATCTACCAAGAAATCAATATTGAGAAATAAGAGTAGGGAAATTGATTCGTGATCAGCTAATCAAGGGTTCCTCAATCGAAGGGTGACGGGGATGTAACACTCCCTATATTCGAACAATTGTTTTGCATTGTATTTCACAGAATGAAGCTTACACTACCTTAAGCACGATTTTATCAGTTACCCCCAGTGTTGCCAGATGTTAAAGTCAAAAATCCGGAATTCATATCTGAAAAATCCGAAAAATTGCAAAAACCTCCGAAATAATTGAGACAAACCAATAAAACTTCCTGAAAAGTTCAGAGAAAGTGCGGACGAATCCCGAAGAAATTCGAAAAAAATGTGGAGAATCCTGAAAAGCTTTCAAAATCAGGTGGACCTGGCAACGCTGGTTACTCTCGCTTAAAAGTTTTGGGTGCTCGCAACATCCTTGAGCACATAATCTTGAAGAAGAAATTTTTACACTACCACCTCTCAAGGTGAGAATGGTCATGGCAGCCCAACCACTTCCCTATCTTATTTAGTTAAAAATTTGAGCCTACCCTAGAGGGAAATTATTCCGCCGCCTATGGAAGGTTGATAAACTATTTTACATCATTGTATACTAGGCTTATAATGTAGGTTCTGCAGAATATCAAGCACACGATGGACTATTCAATGACTGTATTTTAAACATTACTGTCAATATGATCTTCAGTAAATCATTCCTTTTATCACTAAAACAGAGCGATATTGTCGGATTTTGATATGCTCTACATTTCGAGTCTCAAAAATATCTCATGACTACCGATACGTATATTGTTTGAACTAGTATCTCTAATATTCGTTTTTTGAACAAAAGTATCCGATACGAAAAAACTGATGAAAAACCTCCTTGCATCCACCCCAATATCATTCAAAACAGATAAAGGAAGAAAATGATACTGATTAGTCATCGGCTACCAACATCTGATTTATTCGTCAAGCACACTATTATTGTACACAGAGCTACGAAGATACCTACATGTCATCTCCACAAGGGGAATCACCAGATGGAAATCATTCTAATGCAAATTTCAAATGAAATTAAACAAATAATAATAAAGTGTAAATTAAACTGTGTTGCCAATGCAGTAATATTTCTCACTAATAATATGACTCAGGTTGCAGTGTCTGATATTTTAAGTGATCTGAAATTTAGTAGCTATTGTGCGTATTACACAGACTAGTTCTTGTCGTAATTTGTTGTGGTTTGTAGCTCTTTATTGGGTGAGTTCAATTGCAGTGATTTTATTTTAATCACTTTTATCTAGTATTGTAAAAACTAATTTAATATATCTACGAAGACATGCTGATTTTCCTAATGGGAATCAATCATTTGACAATGAAATCATTTTTATATTTGCAATTTGACTATATGGTTTAGTTTTTCTCATTGGCATTTATGTAGTACAAACGCTTGGAATGTACCGAAGAGATGTTGATAGCAGCTGAAAATTGACCACTAGAACATCATCGCGAATATTTCTATTTCATAGTCTGACAGTAAGAAATTATTTGCAGTGTAGTACTCACCAGCTGCATTGAAATATCATACCTTTGTTTATTGCCCGACCAACTCCGCAGAATTTAATGCTCATATACAGTAAAACCTCTAATACTGAACACCCTCCGCCCTCCGCCCCNNCCCCCCCCCCCCCCCAGCGATTTTTTGCTGGTTTTAACTTCCTTCATAGTGAAATCCTCGCGATTCTGAATGTGAACACTTTTTTGTGGTCCCGGCTGTATATTTACCCACTTTAAGGTGAATGTTCTAGAAGGTGCTGTTAAACTTCGAATTCACACGATGTATTTCATTGGATAGTTTTGTAATTGGCTTAGAGAGAAACAGAAAAAAAATTCAATCTCGTCGATACATAATTGAATTACTTATTGTACGTTTATATGTTAATGTTAAATTATTAAATATGACAACTGATCGTGAACTTTGTTTAGGAGAAAAAATAAACCTTATAAAAGAGAAAGAAAATGGGCTTGCTCATCGAAAATTAAATGATAAATTTCAAATTTCAATTGGAGCTGTTTCAAATATTTTAAAAAGAAAATTAGACTATACAGATGATTACGAATTGAACAGAAATTAAAAAGAAAATCCAAAAATGAATTTAGTCAAGATATCAATACACAAGATCCATGAACTTAAAATTTGTGTACTTAAATTTTTTTCTCATACAGTATGTGGACTGAAAAAATCAAATGAATAAAAAATCTATTTTGCATATACCCCCTCCTACGTGATCACTTTGTCATTATGCAAGATTTATGAAAGTCCCACTGGTGTTCAGAATAGACGGGTTTTACTGTATCTCTTTCAAGCAACTAGAAAGCGTCTATGTTTGCATGTGCACGATAGTAAGCTAAAAAAAGTCGATGCTCGTTAATAACAATAGGGTGAGTTTATTTCACAAAGCAAGAAAGGCTAGTCTTTTATTTTCGGATTTAGAAACTCCTTTCGACCATCTTGGAGCTTCCGACGAATGGTAGGTAATGTGCGTCGCGCATGCGCAGCTACTTTTTGATAAAATTGGCGCCTTTTCGAGTCGTAATTCTTAGTTTCATACAAACGACCAGTATCCTGTTTTGAATCAGATTTGTTAGGAAGATTTGGAGGTGGAATTTTCTCCCAGATTTTATACGCCTTGTCATAATATTCACGAGATTTCAAGTAATCACCTAATTCACTGTATACTTGACCGATGTTACTGTAGGAAGTACCCAAATCTGGATGATTTGGTGGCAGTGTTTTTTTGTAGATATTATGAGATTTTTTGTAGAACTCTAGTGCTTTTGAGTAGTTACCGATGTTAGCATGCAATTGTCCAATAATAGTGTAGGTTAGAGCCAACGAAGGATCATCTGCCGACGCAGTTTTTTGTTTAATTTCAACTTTTTTTTCATGGAACATAATTGCTTCTTCATATTGTCTCGGTCCCTCTTTGGTTCTCGCTAGCTCATGATAGATACATATTTTATCATCGTCACTCGCAGCATTCTCAAGTAGTTCACCGTAGAGTTCTTCAGCTTGATCAAATAGATCAACATGAAGCATCCATTGGCCTAGCTCATACCATCCATTGAAGCTGATCCCTTCCTTCATTCGAAGGGTGAGCATAGCAAGTTCTGTATCATTGTCATCTACCATAGCCAATCGAACTTTCCAGAGACGATTTTGATTGACTGCCTGTTTGATTTCACCGACACGAAAAACGGTATTCATTGTAAAAAGAATTTCATTTTCTTGAGGAATATCATTGTGTTTATCGATAAGAGCAAATGGAGTATCCGTAGCCAATACTTTACTTGGATCGATTTTCATAATAAAAATGACACCAAAAATGTCATTATTTTTGCGTATTGCACGTTCAACAAAGTCAATGGCTACCTCTTTATCTTTATTTGTAGACAAGAAGTTGTTGAATGCGATGAATCCACCTTTCGTATCGAGCAACTGTTTAAAGGCCTGTTCGGTGAATGCTTGAGCACGATATACAATAAACTCGTTTGCATACGCATTTGATTGTTCTTTATGCAGCTCTTCAAGTTGTCGATGGAGTTTGCGAATGAAAAAGCTCATTCTCGCTACAATTTCCATATTGAACGAAAATAAGGCATGATTCAGCATGCTACGAAGAAAAATATCTTCAGTGTACAACGAAACTGCCGATTTTTGCTGGTATTGATTCTGGAAATACTTCAATTGGGATTCGGAAATATCTTTGCTACTGCAATAGAAAACAAGATCTTTTACCGATTTGGTATCGTCTTCGTGCATTTCTGATATAATTTCATTGAATAATAAGGAGTACTTAAAGAAAGGTTCCAATAGAACAAGATTTTCTACTTCTGCAGTTGCTGCCAGAAAACGTTTCGGAACAAAGCTCATTGGCATCAAATTGTGGTCACATTCGCAAGTGAACTTTTTTAATGATGTATGAAGAGACGGAATTGAAGTGAAATCGCCTTGAATTTTTGTCCATTCTGCTATCCATGGTTTATGCCGATAATTAACGCTACCAAATATGTAAATGGCATTTACTTGTGGCATGCCATGTAGTATTGGCACAAACTGATTTGCTAATTCTAGAGCACAGATGACGATAACGTTTTCATGATCCATATCGTTGAGGAATTCAATACATTGTGTTCGTCCGGTACAGACTATCACGTTGTTAACAACACTACGCAACATTACTAATACGTTTTGATACTCAGGGCTTGTTTCATCAATATCAGTGTTAGTCCAGATGAGAGAATAGCTTTGGGTTCGTTGATATTTTGGTCGGATGCCATTCAATAATGCAGATGGTATGTTAGCAATTTCATGTTTGGACTCTTCTTCATTCATGTTGAATACGAAGTATCACTTGATTGCTAGCTTAGAATAATGAATGATTGCTTATCGTTGAGGAAAAGATTAATTTTTCTATCTATATAATAGGGATGTGCAGAGTAAGGTTTTCTCTTACCCTGTATCCTGATAAACGAATTTTTGTTGATCCTTATCCTACCCCACCCATCCTGTAAAACTTTTATATTCCTTACCCTTACCCTGAAAAATCTTTAAAACTTGAGGGCGTGGGTTTCGGTTCGGGTATATTCTTCACCCACACCCAAAGACTATCGATTGGTTTCACTAGCGGTCGAACTTATACCATTACTATATTAGGTACAAGATGTTAATGTCTATTGTGATTGAATTACATGCTGTCTTGTTCATTTACACATGAATTGTGGCTGAAAGATGTCACTCAAAGTTAGTCATTTTCTTAACGACTTATGAGGGAAGGCCACCAACTATTCAATCGCTTTTGCCTTGAAACTATTTGCATTATGTAGCTCCCAAGGAGTTATGGATACGCTGAAAATATTTTGGATGGACAGCTTGTTGTTACGAAAATAGTCCATCTGAAATGTATGGTTTTTAGTGAGTACTTGGACGCCCCTCAGGAACTTTGAAAAAAATTGATTTTCGAATTTCGACTTGAAAATTTACATAGAAATATACCTTAACGAGAATAGTGTTTCGTGACCGTTTCAGATCATTCTACTATTCCTATCATTACACACAGCTATTGTGAAATTTTTACTTTACATCTTTTAAATAAGGTAGCAGATTTGATGAAAGAAACAAAAATTCAATAACCAAAAACATTCACAAAGCACTAGTCTTGTTGAGGCATATTTCTATGTAAATTTTCAGGTCGAAATTCGAAAATCAATTTTTTTCAAGGTTCCTGAGGAGAGTTCAGGTACTCACTAAAAACCATACCTTTAAGACGGACTATTTTCGGAACAACAAGCTATCCACCCAAAATATTTTCAGTGTATCCATAACTCCTTGAGAGCTGCATAGTGTAAATAGTTTCAGTGCAAAAGGGATTGAACAGTTGGTGCCCCCCCCCCTCGTTAGTATGTTTGATGAAATATGTACCTTGTAAAAGTCCATCTGGTTAACATGAATTTTAATTACAGTATGTTACATGTAAGAGATACTTTAATCATGCTTATTGTATAAGTCTGTTGAGTATTTTGAATCAAAGCTCTTTTAAAATAATTTCCCAACAATAAAAATGAATTATTCTGACGTCTTATTGTATATTTACTTTTTTTTGCAGCTACTCTTGAATCTCAAGTCTAACTCAATTGTTTGTCTAATAATGTAGAAACAAAAATATATACTTACGTACTAAACACTATTGTAATGTGCGATTTTTGTTTTATATGATTTCAGTTAATTGTGTTCCTAATATATATATAGTACATAGTTTTCAGAATTATTTGACTTTTACAACTTATGTTTATGTGAATTAATGGACCATGACATTTTCATTAGATAGAAAATATTTTTCTCATTGTTGTGCTCGTCATCACACATATTTTTTTCTTTCAAAAACCTTTGTTTTTTGCTTTTCTGTATGATTCATGTTTGTTATGATAAAAAAAATACATACTTCCATAGATTTGTCTTACGTCAGCGCATGTGATTTGAGTCTCGAAATTTATGCCTTAAGAATGAATAAAGATTTATATTTCGATTTCATAATCGATCAGCTTTGAATACATGTTAGAAGCGGCAGAAGATCATCGTAGCATAAGTCTTTGCGGTTACATCACATTGAAGCTCGAGCAAGAGCCTGAGAAAGATTTGATGCAGAAAAGTCAACGAGCTGTTGAGCTCTTGTTGTTCGTGCATATCATATACGTCACATATCGGGGAAATATTAAATACACTAGTCTCAAGATGTTGAGTATTTACAAAAGAAAAACCATGAATCTAATTAGGTCGAGTATTGAGATTTTTCACAAGTATTTTCTCATTCATTTGAACAAAATAGCCGATACAACAAATGAGAAAATCGAAGTTTTCATTTTGAATGCTTTCGTATTTATCAGTCACTATGAGTATCACGTAGAAGAATTCATTTGAGGTAACTAGACTATTACAATAACAAAAAAAATGTATTTTATATATTGTAGAATAGGAAATTATAGATGAAAGATTGAAATACAAAAAGGAAAACTTATTGGATTGCTCTTTTATCATGAATCAATGCGGACACTTTCTTAAATGATAATTCTTGACCAACGAACTAACGCATTTTTGCGTCAAAAAATATAATATTCTAACTTTGAATAATATTTACTTGTAAACATGCTTTAGAAGTTGCATTTAAATAATCTTCACAATGGTTGATTGGTTCAACAATTAATACGGCGTGTAATATCCATCGTAATACGCTTAAGTTTTTCATTTAATCTTACTACTAGGAGAAGTTTTTTCTTCGAATTGCAAGTACATGTTTTATTGAAAGAAAAATAATGGATAAAAAGAAGAATTGTTAAAACTGTATTCGCAAAATGATCGCTTTATAAATCGAAACCTTTTACTTGTGTTTTTGTTTTTATTAATAATATTAGTACAAAGAGATTATATAAAATAGCTACAAAAATTATTCAATAAGATTTTATTTTTGTCTTTATCTTGTTATCTCAATGGAAAGAAAAAGAAACTATAAATATGATTACCGGATTTTGATAAAACTCAAGCTTTAGATTTTTAGCACCCATCGCACATAAAACATAATTTAGCTCAGACTACATGGAACGATGGAATAAGTAATTCTCTGCGAAATAAAATTGATCCAAGTTCTGTGTGAATGTCTGATGCTACAATACAACATTCTTACAAAGACTTTTAAAACTCAGTTGTTCAGTACTCGAACTCATTGTATTTGGTAGAGTATTGCTTGTTCTATCGAATTGTTTTCATTAATTAAAGTAATTAAAACAATTCAAGATGACTATTGCTGAATAATTTTCGTAGCCACTGTGCGCTCAGGAAAAAAAATATACAGAATAAAGCGAAATGTCTCGATAAATTATGCCCATGATTCCCAGTCATCATCAAACTCGTTAGGCGTTTTATTGTTTGGCGATGATAATAATGGTGTTGTTGTTGTTGTTGTTGTTACTGTTGATGATGATAAGCTTTCAGAAGTAGTTGTTTCTTTGGATTCTGTTAATGGCTCTGCGTGCGATGCTATTGCTACAACTGGTGAAGTAACATCAGCTTCATCAAACTCACGTTCCCAACTATCGCCTGAAACTAAGAAAGTGATAGTTATTTGCTATGTGTACAGTTTTCTTTCAAGTATATTCCTCTACCTGTATCACTTTCTTTTCGTTCATTGGGTGTTATTTCCAAATCTTCTTTTACTATTGCGAGTTCCTGTTGATACTCAACTGCAGGGCTTTCTTGAATTGATTCTTGTTTTTCCATAGGAACAATTTCGTCACGTGATTCTTGTTTTTCCGTAGGAACAATTTCGTCACGTGATTCTTGTTTTTCCGTAGGAACAATTTCGTCACGTGATTCTTGTTTTTCCGTAGGAACAGTTTCGTCACGTGATTCTTGTTTTTCCATAGGAATAATCTTTTCAGTTGATTCCTGAGTTGCACTCGATGGTTCTTTTGACCATTCATCATCTATTAATAAAATTTGAGGAAAAACGGTAAAATGAAAAATAAGAAAATTTTACCTGGTTCATCCCAATCATTTTCATTATTTTTTCCAGTATTATCGTTATTTTCCGAGCAAATTTCGTGTGCACGTCGTAATAATTGTGTTCTTCGTGTTTCTTCTTCTTCAATAAGATGCAATCGATAATAATATCGAGACCAAAAATCAACATGTGTCGTTTGTGCTGGTACAAAACGGGCGTAATATGAACGAACATGTGGAACATCAATTAATAGCCGGGATATATCTCCTTTACGTGCTTCAACATTGAAATTTGTTGTTTGACGCCATGTTTCATAGGCTTCATCTGGAATAGGATCACTTAAATATGTTGATTCATCATTTTGTAAACGAGCTAGTTCATTCTAAAAGTAAACAAGATATTCTTCAAGCTACTGTTGTTTATGTTTAATTTATACATTCATTGCCGTCATAACATAAAAAAAACTATTATCTACATGCTGAAAGTACTCTCGTGCATTCATATAATAAGATTTTAGTGTAAAATCAAAATTTTACTCTTATGATATCCTTTTCAGTATGTTCGAATATGAGGATCTCTGGTAAAAGATAAAAATCAAAATTTCATCTTAACAAAAACTTATCTATTCATTTGATCGATTGAATACGGGAATGATTCAAAGCTATTGATATTACATAGCAAGACCAGGTCAAAAATGAGAAATTTCACTTCAGATAAATCTTCTATATTAAACTGTGGAACAAAATGATGATATGACCATCCTGATCTACAAAAATCAAAATAAGATGTTTACATGAATTCGATCGAATGATGGTGTTGCATGAATATGTTTTCCATTATCAGTATCAGCTTTAGCAGGACCACTTAATTTTGACACGAGTCGATTAAAACCAAGCTCTCCCATCTAAATTTCACATGAAAATAAGAAAACAAAATCGTTCTTTTTACAAAGACACATTACATCTTGATTGGCAACTTGATTCAAATAAATTTCTGTATCACTCTTAACTGTTGTTGTAAATTCAGCTAAATCTCTACGTACGAAGTCCAACGCATCAACGGACTAGAAAAATCAATAAAACAAAATTTCCTTCAATACTTTTTCTTCTTCTGTCTCCTAGAATTAAATGATTACTTTATCACGAACGGATTGAATAACCGATGTAAACCAACTAGACATATTCAAATATCTGTAAAGGTAACAAAAATAAAATATCACTTTCTTTTAATCAATAAAAATATGTTCTAGTTGGATTTTCATCATTAGATGATCTACATAGAAAATAAGATTTTGCTATCGATTGCGCATTGTCAAAAAAAATAAAAAATAAAAATAGAATTCTCAAGATAGCTAATAAATCAGCACAAAAGCTTGAATAATATTTATCTAAATAAATTAATCATCACTTCGAGCACCTCTTCACGAATACAAGCAACTATATTTGACATGCTAAGTGTTGTGCCCGCAATAAATACGTAAACACCAAACATTATGATCAATAGATTTAATATTAATTGCCATTTAAAACGACCTAGTTTATTCGACCAAAATGTAATCGTTTCACATATAGGAGGAAGTATCACGGAAAGTGCTGTTGACGCTACAGCACCGACTGATTTAAAAGTAAAATTATTGATTTTTCTTTGTGCAAATAGACTGAGAAATACTATACCTAATGATATTACAAGGCCAATATTTGGAATTAACGCAGCAACGGTAACTAAAATAGCAAAACAAAAACAATTCTACAAAAAGTCATTACTGTTGTAAGGTTTTACTAATAAGCGTGCAACGAAATCTAACAACCGACGCTTCATTCTGTCACTTTTTTTGAGAGATATTAAATAAACAAAGCAACATTTGTTAGTAGGCTTTTATTTTTTTTGCGTAAGCTCTAATTAGGATTGTACCCTAGTCAAACATCTTTTGGGATGCGCATGACATAATTGATGATCTTGAGCAAGAAAGTCATGCGCTATGGACACATCTTGAAATATTTCTTGACATGCGGATAATAAGAGAAATTTTTGTAAAAAAAAGCATCCAAATCGAACATTTTCCTTCTATAAATGAGCATTGTTTGAAGAGAAAACGTTGTTACCTATACCAAAATTTTTTGATAATTTTTTTGTGCACATGCGCATGATCTTCTTGAACTTCTTGGGCAAGATGGTCCTGCGCTATGGACACATCTTGAGTTCAAGTCTTGTCAAGCGCTTGAAAAAAAAAGTTCAACCAGGGTACCTTTTCATATAATAGTAATAAATGGATTTATCGATGTTCTATTAAATAAAATAAAAATCAGAGCCATGAGACGATAAAGTCTCAGTATTGAATTATTGTCTCATCGATTTCTCTCACATATTGAAAACAGAAAAAGAGCACTCTTCAAAATTCTTATATTTAGCCACATACGAAATTCGCATAATCCTACGAATGATCAAATAAAGAAAACAAATGTATAGTCGTAACGTTCAACATTGTTCCCTGTGTATAGCTAATACATAGAGCAGCTATTATATTACATTACCGGTTTGTTTCATTCAACTTACAAGTTACAAGAATAAGTGCAATTCGAATTTTGCTTGTGTTCTCTCGTTATAGTTATATAGCATTTTACGGCAAATACGTGGCCAAAGAAGTGTAAATGGTACGTAAAATTGACGATTATACGCCAAAAAATAGCTACGGCATACATTATATTTGTAAATTGATATAATCTATTCAATGAAATAAATAAAAACATATCTATGAAAACTCAACTTCTATCTACTTATTATCGGCTGGTAAAGTTAAACTAATCGAACCACGTGCATCTGAGTCATATCGTATATATCCAAAAAAAACAACAAAAAAATAAAGTATCGTAACAAGTTACATTCCCGTATTCAATACTCCATTACAACCACCATAAGCGTCAGGTTCTCTCATCTTTTGTCGAACTGGCAAAACCTAGAGGAAATAAATTTGTAGCTATTTTCTTGTCTCCTTCTAAAAGAACGCAAATTCAAAATAACATACTAAAGCAATTCCTTCGAATGTATACATAGCCGAAGAGAAGAACACTGGTCAACTTGCTGGTTTAGTTGTTAATGATAATTCATTTATTGGTAACTGCGAGCGTATTACATATTGCATGATGATACATAATCCTATAACTTGGATTTTAGTCTTCATGGATCTTTTTTTTGTATGTTTTACCTCCAATAGTAATCACATTAACAGCAAGTGAAAATGGTGCGAGAACTTTTAAACTTCTTATCATGGAAAATCCTATAATGAGTACAATCATAATCAATTAATAGACTTGTATGACTGGACTATGTATTGAAAAATAATCAATAACTTGTGTAATACTAGCTGGTACAAAAACAAAATAAACCGAACAAAAATCAACTTGAATTAAAACAATAAAACCATCAATAACAAATCTAATTCAACACTGCAGATTTAGTTCAAATTAAAAATTTTTTTATTTTCTTACTTTCCTAATTTTGCATAACGAACGTTGAGCAAATCACCAACGACATGTTTCTAATGTATATCGCATAATACCACCGAAATCACATTTAGATCTCGACGTACTAGAAAAAGGAAACATTGCATAAATGAATTTTCATTGTGGTAGATACTAACTGAGATCGGTAATGTTCGTGACATCGCAATAATTGATGCATACAATAAAGTTTCTTTGCACCCATTATCCAAAAAGCAATAGAACCAAACTAAAGTGAAATTGATTGAAAAATCAGTAACAAGAACACCAACGAAAACATGCAACTAATCCAGCTTTTGATAATGCAAAAGGCAATGCAAGAATGCCAGCACCTACATTACCTTTGAGTAAATGCATTAATGTTTCAGTATTGCTAAATAAATGAAAAATAATATCAAACTTGAATATGATTTGAGTTTATTTACGTTGTTCGATGTTTACTTAGATCACCGGCTAATGAAGCAATAAGTGGTGCAATCTAAATATAGCATAATTAATATCTCAACAGTTCCTTCTTAGACTAAGTATGTACTATCAAAGTATCACTAGTCGAATTTAGTTTAGCAGACTTTCTTTGTATTACTCTATAATTACTTATCAATACAAAATACAGTTGTATTATTTAAAAAAAGACAAGATTCAATTTCTCATTTATCTTATTCAAATTTTGACTTAAGAAATATAGATGATTTATTGTACGTAAACACATTAAGAAAATGACCTACATATAACTTGAAAGCACGATAAGATAATTTCAATAAGACTAGAACTATATATAAAATACTTGAGACATCAATTCTAATGACTATACTGGATTCAAAGATTAGTATAAAGTGCATTCATTACACGTTTCAAATTCTTTTGTATTTCTAGTCCAAGAGAATAACAGAATTTTCTTTTTCTCGTTTATTTTCAGAACGACAACCGAAGAATAAATTTCTTATGTTTCATTTTCCTTCATCTTCACAATTGAATTCAGATTATTTACGCACAGCTTCGTTTTCATTATTTTCATCAATATGAGATGCTGTTGAACTGATCAGATCATCGCAGTTTGATAGAATAGGAAAAGTAATATCATCCAAAATCGACGTATCACTGGTTGATGTCGATGTTGGCATATCTGGCGATTCTATTAATAATTCCATGTAATGCTGAGACGATTTTAGTAACGAAATGTTCGACATTAAATACAACAACTAGAAAACGAAATCTTGTTTTTTACCTTTGTATATGAAAAATATTTTTACATTGACTTGCACTGCTGAGCTCTAGAATAAATCAACCAATAAAAAATTTCTTTCGAACCTCCTGTCAAATATGACGTTGACATTGATTGTAACACACTCATTTCCATTCGACGAATCCGTATTATTCACTACATGTGAATGAATAATTCAATTGTTGTTTTATACTTTTTTCTCGTTTGGCATAAAACAGAACAAACTATTGGTTCTTCAAACGACTGTCTACATTTAATAATTAATGTAAATAATCGTTTTTTAAAAGATTATTTTTGTTGATTCGTAATTATGCCGAAAAAACCTGCTGATGCTAATAAACCTCGCGGCCCTATCACTGCCTATGCATTATTTGTTCGTACATGTCGTGATGAACTGCGCCGAAAATATCCTCAATTAAGTGTTGATTATAATGTTATAGCTAAAAAATGTTCGGAACGTTGGAAATCAATGAGTGATTCTGAAAAAAAGCGTTTCAATGATATTGCTGATTCACAACGTAAACGTTATAAAGAAGAACTTGCTGTCTATCAGCAAGAACAATTAGTTAAACAACAACAACAAGATCCACCAACATCATCAATATTAATGCCAACAACACAATATTTTATTGAACCAACACAGCAACATACACTTGTTAACATACAAAAGAAACCAGCCAAAAAGCGTGATCGAAAACAAAAAGATCCACATGCACCAAAAAAACCTTTATCAGCTTATTTTCTCTTCTGTGCCGATGAACGACCTAAAGTTCATAGTTCACAAGGAGGTAAATCGTTTATTTCTTTTTAATATTAAAATCAATCGATGTATAGGACTACTCCCTTTAGCGGTGAGTTTTCTTCAGGAATGGAACTGAACTTCTCTTCCGTTGTTCATAATCAAGAGTTGCATCACAGTTAGCTAAATGTCTTACTAATCAATCGAATTTTACGCATGACATTCTTAAGTTGTATTCATGATGCATTTTATAAATGTTCAGCATTTCACTAATGCCCCTCTGGGTCGATGGCTAAAAAACAGCTCCGACGAGACATTAATTGAGTTTCGAATGTAAATTAATTTTTTTAGCAAAAATAAAATTCATAATTCAAACAATTTTTAATGCTTAATTATTCAACTAAAATATAATCTAGAGTAGCTTGAATGCAAATGAGAGAATTTTCCATGTAATTAATTTTTTATTTCTACATTCATCAATTATGTCAACATCGCAAATTTCTTTATAGAGTTTTATTGTTGCAGAATAGGATTGCTAGATTTATATTTTAAAATATAACTCCAATATATTTTCTTGAATGAAACGGATAACCTAAGTTTAAAATTTATTAGCATAGCATTACATTTACGTATATAAGTTCTTATCTTATTCTAATGATAGCACTCATATTTTTTCTTTTTCTATAAATCTAACGAGTCATATTGATTGCGTTTTATTGTTTGATGAAATCAAAATTCACTTATCGTAGAAAAAATCTCTCTGATGAATTTCAACGATTATTTTTATTCGATATAAATAATCAGTTAATATTTCCAATCAAGAAAAGCAATGAGTCGCATCCTCATTTATAATTTATATTTTAACTGGCCAATAAGAGAAAACGTAAACAGCGTTTGCACTCATTTCGTCACAAATAAATGTCAATATGTCTGTAGCTTTATTTTATTATTCATTGTGCAAAATAGTAATGTTTTTTTTTCCTTTTCGTTCTTATAAATATATTTTCAATGAATCTTTTGATTGTGTCAGGCTGCTTTAGTTTTTGTTCGATTCAATTATCGGCCAAAGATGCTAATGATGAGCCGGCAAAACGTCGTACGAGAAAAAAGACAGAAGTAAATAAGTAAAAGTAATTAGCGCACTATTGACAGAGCTCATCAAATAAGCAATATAGATTTTATTTTCTTTTTGAATTTATGACAAAGAGACCTTGAAATATTTAAGTAAATATTACAAACTATACTTCATAGTGAGTTTCATTACTTCAGTCATCCAGCGCTGGTTTTCAAAATATATCAAACTGTTAAGGGCATAGATAACAATAGGAAAGAACGTTGGAGAAATGAAATGTGAAGACTCTTATCTAATGTAATCTTAATAATTAAAAGGTAAACAACAGGTAATATCGAGTAATTTCTTCTTCTTCTTCTAAATAGGCATGTCAGTCAGTGATGTAGCACGTGAACTTGGCGTGCGATGGAAGCAAACACCTGCAGAATTGAAAATAAAATATGAGCAAGCTGCATCGGAGAAAAAAAATGTCTATCAAGCAGAAATGGCTCTTTATAAAAATCAAACATCAACGAATTTATCACCACCTGAAACTCCTCAAACGCCATCATCGCCTCACGATTTTCAATCGGTATCATCTTTCATGTCTATTCAACAAGCTTCACAATTACAATTTGATCAATGTGATACAAATGAAAATCAAGCGGATTTTGATACACTAACACACGAACATGATGATTAATTTAACTAACAATCGAACATTCTTTATATTTTTCTGTGTTCATCGTTTTTTTTTAATGTTTATTTTTCATTCAGGTGTCTATTCTGATGCTGTGTATAGAAAAAACAAAAGCTCGACGACCTACTCCAGAATAGATTGAATTGATTGTATTTTGATTTCATTCTAGATACCATGTATTGTCGATCATCGATAAATAACTATAATCGATGACACTGTTTCATGCAGCTGCTCCAATATCAAATAATAATCATCCGCCTTCGTACATTGTGGCTGCAACAACGACAATAACAGCGACAACGACCAATGCTGTCATCGACAGCCCAACAAATAATAACAATTCGCAAACGTTAAGTGATATTAAACTTATATGTGCACAAAGAAAAAAGGTTTGCTCAAGAAGTATTGCTTGTATTTTTCAATCATCAGTGAGATTACGTGTGCAATGAATCAGAAGATTTGACTTTCATTTGGACGCCGTTAATCAAAGGGAATTGAAGTAAAATAAAAGAAATTATTACTTTGAGTTAGCAATCACTGCCCATTTAAGCGAGATCATCAATGAGACTATTCGATAGCATTTGTAAATGCAGGCAACCAAATTTTTTTGTAATGTCAACCTAATCGCATAGTTGTCTAGTGAAGACCGCGAATTTTTATTTGTATTATGCCTAAAAAAGGATTTAATCAACAAGTAGCACTTCTGAGTCATCTGCCTTGATTTGCGTTCCGATGAATTTGGTTTTGATGAGAGATTCTGCCTGAGGTCATGAACGATTGAACGATAAAATTTTGTTTCAGTTGCGATGATTTTGTTCTCTTGACTCCAGTGTGACTTTGATAAATCTAAATAATGTCAAACAGCTCTCATCAGTTCGTATTTAACGTGCTTTCGATTTTATTTTCAACTGTAATAAACGGTGAAATCTAGTCACCGAGAGAAGAAAAAAACATTTTTTTGGATAATTAACTTTTAGATGCGATGAATGAACAAATTTATAAGTTAAGATTGGTTTCATTGCAATTTCTTTATTATCATATCAAGCGGAAAAGTGTAGAATATTAATAGTACTATGAACACCTGCTATATATAGAGAGAGACCGATGCCACTCGAATTGTCAACACGGTAAAATAGTTCTCACATCATCACATTTAGTATCTTAACGAAAAATCGATGCACACCTGTATATTTACTTGAATTCAAACTAAAAATGCACTCTACTGTTAACAATAGTTCATCATATTTAGTTTCGTTTATGAATTTCAAAAAAGAAACATTGCTATTAATAGTATGTCGTATGGATTAATTGAGAGACTATTTAAAATAGGGGCCAACGAACGGAATTGTTCAGTACGACAACTCATGCCTATGTTAAACTTCGAAGTAGGCGCACAATCATGAAGGAAAATAATTAGCCACTGCGAAATCTATCCCTAAAATTGAACACTATAGAGATCTGTAACATAAACCATTGCAAAAAAGGATTAACGACAGTTTTGCTAATCATCTATGAAAATATTTATAATTATTATAACTTAATAAAATTATCAAAATGATTTGCCTGCATAAATCTGCCAATAGGAAAATTCCTATATATTTTTCACTATAAACATTCTTATAAATTCGCTGCGACGAGTATCTATAATGGCTGAAGACTGAAGTATATCATTGCTCCTTACAGACAAAATAACTACTCATCTCTTACCGGACTTTGTATTAATTAATCTCATTTCAAGTACCACAATACTCTTAATTGACATACTAAAAATAATAAAATAGTTTTGTGAATGACATTATTTTCGTCTTCAATTAAAATTAGAATTTATATTCAAAAAAACAAAGACCCTGTACTAAATAAATAGTTGTGGAAATTCACAATATTCCGATTATTTTTAAGAACGTTTGACATTCTCTAAAACAAACAATCCGATCGATCATTTATAACAAAATTGAACTAAATGGAAAATTTTCTTTTCTTTTCTTTAGAAAACCAAACGTCATATTTATTTAACATTTGTTGACAGTTGTCTATTATCTTCATCCGATGATCAACCATGCATTGAAATCATTCGAAAATCAAATAATTCATCATCAACAGCATCATATTCATTAAATGAATGTATCGCATTTGAATATTTCGATACCGTGAAAAATGACTTTCAATCATTTATTTATGTTTACTATGAATCCTATACAGTATCAATATTTTTTTCCGAGGAAAATCTCAACAAGAAATCTATGATTATAAAACATCTGGATTATATGTATCAAAGTAAATCAGAAAACTCCTCACAAACAAGTGGAAATTCTTCTCAAGATCCATCACAATCTCAATCATTAACAATGCAATCGCAACAGCAGCAGCTGCAGCAGCAACAACAACAACAACAACAAAACTTAGTTTTACCATGTCCACCAACGACCGAACATATTTTGCACGCATTCGATGCAACTTTAATTCCACATGGAACCATCATAAATCGAGATCATGGATTAGTGGGTCCGACACGACTTTATTTCACAACAACAGATTTATATATTGCTTCAGCACAATGTAATCGACTGGATTTGAAAGTTACGATTACAAATCAATGTCCATCAAAAGACAGAGCTATTTTATGCATACCTTATTTTACAATAAAAAATTATGGAAATCGTTCGAATATATTTCTTATTGAATTAGGAAAATCCAATTATGGCAGTGGTGAAATACATATGAAATGTCATTCATCTTCATTAGCAAGTACAATACATCTATTAGTAAGTCCTGTTATTGAAGAACGCCCATTAATACTTTCATCTGCATTTCAAAATCAATTATTAACGAACAAACGTATTGAAAAATCAAAAAATATTCATCCGCCCATACAACTCAATAATGACACAGCAAATCAATCAATCTTAGATTCACCATTAGCATTACTAAGAAAGACAGCAATGCAAGCAAGTGAAACGAATGGCACAACACAATCAACGAAAAACAATGAAATCAAACCGCATGTAGTTGTAGGATTTTTTCGTTCGCTATCAAAAAATGTTTCAAATCTGAGACGATCAGCAACATTTCATAGTAATAGTGAACGTGCACTAGCAAGAGAGAATGATTTATTAGCGAAAAATAAATCGATTATGCTTAGTATTGATGAGAAAAAAATTCATAATGATCAGCATCAAATTATTTTGCCGGACCATCAAAAGAAGAACGCTTCAACTCTAAGTGTCTCATCAATCATGACAAAAAGAACTAGTGAAACAACATTAACATCAGCAACAATATTGAATACTTCTAAACCAGAATCAACTGTGGGAACATATATTGATATGGGTTTAGCATTACCAAAATCAGATACAAGTCCAACACAAGAAACTGACGATGAAATTATTACAAAAGAACCAACGGCAATTGCAGAGATTGGTGTTAATAGTAAGTTGAAGGCTAAGATGTATGCTTTCTTTAATCTCTGGAAACGAAATTTATACTCTCACTCTGTTATTCTGACTAGCTTTGTGGGACTCACATATTTTCGAAGAAAATGGCGAGCGTAAGTTGAATTGTTAGGTTTTTGCGGCTCCTCTGTACCCACCCTCTCCCCATTACAGTCATAAAATATAAAAAACTAACACTTTTAGATGCACTAATTAGAAACTTTTTTTGTGCAAGTCGCTTGCCTATGTTCACCGCCACTCACATCAGTAATAAAAATCTAGTTTCACTAATTAGAAATCATTATAGTTAGGATTTAATCTCTGATTAATCATCAAAACCTGTCGTTTTTATTATTATAGTCCATAGTTACGACAGTATTATATATTTTTATTATTACAGATGTTAGCAACGAGTGTATGCTATCGCTACAGAAGCTAGCAACTAGTTTACGCTACTATTACACTCGTTACTTCTACCACGTACGATAAACAGATGAAGATTTTAATCTTTTTTTTCTCACACAAATACTTTATTCTAGAGCTTGAATCCACTTTAGTGTATTTACAATTCGCAACTTGTCCATCCACTGGGAAGCTTTTATCAAATTTTCGTTTATGAAAAAATGTATCTATTTCTCAATGAAACCACTAAACACTTAAGCATACTGACATATTCTAAACAAAAAGTTTTTTATACGTTCTCTCTAGTAATAATTCCTATTGATAGATTCAATAGACTTCAAATGTTAAACAGGTTTTATTATCTTATTTTTGAACAAAATGTGATCTCACTACACTGAAAAAATAAAACTTCTACTAGATCAGTATCTAACTGACCGAAATATGTGAGTTCCACATTTTTGACCCCAACGGGGCTGCACCGGAAAGCTTTTTCTTTTTGTTTGCACTTTTAAGGCAAATTAAATTCAAAAACATTATTAGTTCAATTATAATCTATGCTCTGCGGAGTTAATCTTCTTTTTTAAGTTCTTAGTTATTGTGCTACTTACGAAAAAAGTTCTCTACTCGAGTAATTACTTTCGAGTCGCAACTATATGCACCACGCACTCTCTAATGAGCTATGAATATCCTGACAAGCGGCCAATCTCTCGGTTTTTGTTCCTAGGCTATTTCATGTTTACAGAATTTATTCAAGTAAAAATATATTGGTTTCCCACACAACCATGCATTTCTACTAATTATGTTTTTTTTTCTATAGAACAAGATCAAATCTTTTGATTTTCTGCTATTGCAAAAGAAGAATGTTCAATCTACTTGTTATAAGGGTGATATAAAAGCTACAGTGTCCGTCTGTTGAGGTTTTACTCTAGATGTTCACTGAAGTGTGAATGCCTTGGAGCTGGAATTCATGTGATAGACAAGCCCTATGATATTAAATTTTAAGAATACAATCACCACATTTGATGATCTCTAGAAAAAAAAATTTTGATTGAATTTTGAATTGCCCGTCATAAAAAGATGAGATCTATGCGTGAGTAAAGTTTCATATTGAAATGCCTTGATTTTACACTACTATAAATATCTTCTTGTAAATCGAAAATCAGTCAAGTGATTGCATCCTTTTCCCGAGATTTCTGCTTACACAAGGAATATATCAACTTTCGTTTGATATGAACTTTTTCTAAGCGAAATAATAGCGCCCAAATGATTAAGAATTGAATAAACTATCTTATTTCAGAATGAAAACGATAACGACCAAAGAAGCCAATTCTATACACAAAAAAATGGTATACTATGTTGATTCCTTGAACATATTTAACATGTTAGATTGAATTTTTTAATTAGAAATTTTAGAAAAATCTACGCTTGCTTATAATCGGCTTTATTAAATCGTTTGATTTCTCAATGAATCGTACTATTTGTTTTAGCTATGATTAGCCTATCGCCTCATGTTCGTTCTGCAATCATCGTTGGCAATTCAGTTCATCTGATAGCTGATGGTATGCAAAACAAAACGGAAGTACTTTCATTCTATATAATATCTGTCAATCTTTCTAGAGTCTCACACTTTCCCGATTGGTCAACGTTCATTTACTTCGCCTGCTCGTGTTATGCAGCCGTTCAAAACACAATTAACTGATCAAATAACAACTACTGGTTACGGTATTTATTCTATTTCATAGTTCTAATAAATATATTTTAATTCTCTAGAAACTTCATCCGGTTTAATGACGTCATCTCTAGATAGTTCAAAGTTTGTTTGTTTTTTTCTATGAAAATTTCCACTTTTTCTTTTGATTTTAGTTCTCTTCAACAAACAAATTCCGTATCCGATTCTCATAAATCTCTTTTACTTTCTTACGGTATAGTCACATTTAGCAATAATGATTGTATGATGAACGATCAAACTGATCTTCCAACAAGTTCGCTATCAAATAGTAGCACGCTTGAACATCGTCTTAATTCTGATGTAAGTCTTATGTCGACACCTCAACAGCCACAAGCTTCTATTGCAAATACAATTGATGCTACATCAGCCTGTTCAGGTGCGCACACATTTCAAACGCTCTTTCGTTCAACAAATAATATCGGTGAAACAGGATCATTTCAAATGCGAACAGCTCATAGTTCAGTTCTACTATTCGATGATCATGCCAATGATCCAGTAACAACATATTTACTTGGGCCACCACAAAGTGTAAATGAAGAAAAAACTTCCGTACATCTATCATCATTCAATTTAACCACATCTACATCGCGTGTACAATTATCAAATATCGATGAAGAAAAGACATTATCAAATGATCCCTATGCATTAGCTGAACCATGGATACGAGATAGTTCATCACAATCAACATTGGTAATTAATTCAAATAGTCAATTATCACAACCAGATAAATCTATATATTACGCGGATATACTTTTGCCATCACTTATAGCAAATGAACGTTCCGACAATAGCGAACAACAGCAGCAGCTAAACAATAATCTGGATGATATAGTGAACGAAACAGATCTTGATAAAAAAGAAGAAGAAGAAGACGGACATGAAAATAATGAAAGAATATCAACAAAACTTTATGCAGATATTGATTTTCATCAAACGCAAAGATATGATCGTATTGTTCAGTCTGCAGCTAAAGCTAAAATCGATGATCAAACGCCGCCTTTTGTACTATAGTCATCGTGCTGTTTTATGTTTTCTAGTACCATTTTGTTTGTGTTTCTTGCTCAATCGAACAAGAAAAAAAGAGATTATGTATTTTGGAATAAATATATAAAATATTTTTTTCTTTTGCTTCTTCTCTTTTTTCGTAAAACTATTGCTTTTCTTTTTGTTTTTTTAATTCTCCGTCTCTGTGTTATATGTTCAGCTCAAGTTTGTAAATAGAATAAAAGACATTTTTTTAAATATTAATGGCGTTAAACAAATAGACGTTTGGATAAAACATATGTTCCTTTGTAAAGCAAACAGAGGCATAGAATAATTTCATTTAAGAAAAAAAGAAACGAGAGTAAAAGAGGTATTTAGGAGAAAAAAGACAAAGCTGGAAATCAATCAACAAAGACGTTCTTTTAAAAAGAAAAGCAAAATCGATTTCGAAACGAACTTTAATGATGCATGAGAAATTCTATAGGAATGTGTTTTCTTTTGTAAATGGTTACTGAGTACTATAAATTATTCGTATAATTATTATCTATCTCAATTTAATTTACTGACGGATTCAATCTTTACTTTCGTTATTTGTTTTTCAATGATAGAAGATATTCTGTGTTTCATGGTATTCGAAATACAATCGTTCTATATTTTTTCCAAGGATCCAATAGAGGCATCAAAGTTAACTTTTTATAGCAAGAAATCATCATCGTATGTATTTTCAAATGTTTTGTCTCTGGCTATGTTTTTATTTTTCAGTAACATTGAAGTTACTCGAAACTAAAATATCAATAAATGCCCGACTATAGAATGATTATAAACAAAAATACACATTCTCTGAATTGAGCATACGCTATAGGACAGGTTTGTTCTCACTATTACCAGTATATTACAAACAATAGGATACGGTCCAATGATTTTTTCAAAAATATTAAGTTCGATCCATTGGATAAACTTACGCTACATGCTGCTTGTGAAATTATAACGATGAAAATTTCATCAGAACTCGAATGTCTATTATGAATACCTTCATAGTAAAAACATCGTTCACATCTTTTTCAATTGTCTCTATTTTATTCGAATATCCATAATATTCTTTAGAATAAACAGATGCATTTTCTCAAGCTTCAAATTCAACATGGTGGTGATATACATGAAATGATCTTAACAACGAATTCCAATGATCCTACTGTTGAAGAACTTCTTAGACATATCGAAAAACAACTAAACATTCCAATGGACGAACAACATGTCGTATTCAAGGGACAAAGTTTACATGAAAATCCACAAGGAAAACTACGACGATACGGCATAACAAATGCAACTCTCATTCGTGTTGTTGGGCGTAAGCAACCATTACGACGTTAATTGACATTTCAATTTCTTTCTTTCTATTTTGCTTACCTGAAAATCAAATCTATTTTAATCTTCGAACCAAGAATGACAGCAACCTTGAAACACTGAATACAGAAATAAACCAAAATCTCCAAGTCAGTTTTTTTCGTTGTAATTATTTTTTTGAAATAAAAGTCAATAAAATATTCCTCTACTAATTTAATTGATACTAAACAATTTTCCTTTCGAAACAATAGTCAACACAGTTTAGATAAAGTTATACTCTATCAACGATGCGTCGTCTAGTAAAGAGAGATAATTTGTACGTTGTGAGTTTAATCGTGTGTGTGTGTGTGTGTTATATCGATTGTAATTCTAAAAGTCATGTCAATTTGTAAAGATGCATGTATTTTTCTTGCGTTTTATATTATTCCACGCCTATTTGCTCTCAATCACTCCATATATTTTGAGTCATATACTTGAATCGGCCTCATGTGAAATACTATCGTGCAAATGGGCATATTTTGTTTTCTTTGACTAATATTATTTACAGATGCTACGAATTCATTAATATTGGTCATATAAAGGTCGAATATTAACGAAAAAATATTCAGCTATTCTCTACAATTCTATTAAAATATTTATCCAATGTTACGAGAATTTATTATTTCGACAACAACTCTTGTATTATTATTGATCATCCCAATCGAAACAATGTTTATCATGATGTACCACATGACTAAACCGGCAAAGTATGACATGTTTTTTGTTTTTATTTTTGTGAATATAAAAACTAGTTTTGTTTCTGTGTAATAGAAGAACGCAACACCGATGAATTTTATCAATGTTCTGACCGGTATTGATATTGAAAAAAGTCTTAGAAAGGTGAGAATGATGAACGATTGATCTGGTATACCCTGTTAGATTGAAAATAAAATTTTTTGAAAGAAAAATTTAGTAGCGTTTGAATCATATGGTAGAATTGATTTTTTTTTCTTTGTCTACTTGAGAATAAAACCACTTTACAATGAAGTGCAAGCAAAACAAGGTGTGAGCTATCCTCTTTTGGTTTTTATTCAATTGAGTACAATTCTTTTCGTCTAATAATTCAATGTTATACTCAACATAGATCTTGGAATGGAACATACGAGCACATAGTGCAGTTCCAAGTACAACTATGAAATTGATGTTGATCGATTTGATTCCAGTGGACACAATGATAATGTTTTTATTCGTTTTACTGATCATGATGCTATTGGTGAGTTTTTCCGATATGAATACTTTTCATTCTATGCATGACTTTCTTTATCGAGGTCTTTGAATTCAGAAGAATTGTCATAGGCGTGCTATTTTAATGAATTCGATGAAAGATATGGATGTTGAAAAAAATCGATCAGGATAAACAATAAATACAAATACAAGTCATATTATGCGATATAGCGGTCTTGCAAATAAAAAAAAAACTTAAAGAATCTCAATGATAATAATTTGATTCAAATATCAGTGAGTGGAACAAAACTACACGGTCATTTATTTATTTATACATTCTAGTCAAGTACATAAAACCAAGATGATAATCATCAGCTTTCATCCTAAAAAACATTTTAATAAGAATAATAAATAGATGTTGTGCACGTCTATTTTTATAGTTATAATTGTTTCTAATCTTTGATAGATTATCTCACCTTGTTGATAATTTTATTTTGAGTGCTGATCAGGTAGTAAAAAATATATTGGATGGTTGCACTAATAAAAAAAGTTGAAATCAATTCAACACCAATCAATAAAGATACGGGCTAAGAAGAAACGCCAAGTAATTCATTTTTTCATCGATATTTGATTTCTAAAGCATCGAATGAAGTATCTACTGAACTAAGAGTTTTGCAATATTCTTTTCTTTGTAAATACTTGAGTGAAGACATAATAAGAATTAATTTCTTTTCTTATAGGAAATCACAGTATTTTTTTAATAACGGGACAGATGAAATATTTCTAATATTGCGCACAGCGGTTGTTTTTGTGTACTCAAAAAGTGAGTACACTCTAGATTCGGTCGGTGTGTCCGTCCGACCGTTAACACGATAACCTTTGAAAGCCTCATCCAATTGTCATGAAATTTTGTACGCATAATGATCTCATTAATATCTCAGTCGAGTTCGAAGATGAGAAGGATCCGTCAAGAAGATGGCTGAGTTATTGAAAACATTGTCATTATTGATCAGACCATCCCTGAGG